TGCATATGAGGTGACTGAAAATCCTATAGCTTGGGTCAGGTGCACCTTAGTCCTCAAAGTGACGTCTTTTGTTTAACACTTTAAAGAGGTCTTCTGAAACAAATTTACCCAATGCAATAATACGTCACTTGGCTTCTTGACTGCTGCTTCCATGGGTGTTGACTGTGGATCTAGTCTCTAGGGCCAGGTAAAAAATAGGAAGTGCCACTAAACTCGCAACCTGAGAGCTGGACCTCAGTCCCACAGTCCTCAAGGTCGCGCCCAACCCCTGAGGGGCTGGTCAGCCAGCCAACCAGCTTCCCTGCATCTCAAGGCAACAAAAGACAGCACAATCAAGGCCAAGTGCTAGGGAAATCCAGCAGCCAAGGGGCAGTGTTTGTGCCAAGTTAATCAGTCAGCTTGAGGAGCCTCCACTGGCTGCTAAGGAAGAGGTCAAAGGAGAACATAGTAGCCTCACGCCACCCTGCTGGACAGCACCACAGAGAGATGCCAGAGAGCTTCATCCGTGAAGCCTTGAACTGCTCATCTACTCACCCAGACTGGAACTTCTGATGAGCATCAAGAAATGAGGTTCAAATACAATACAGAAATGTGTGCCCCAGTTGGCTGTCCTCCCAGCTGGAAACACTGGCTCCTGCAAAACCTGGCCACCAAAGCACCTAGTCCAGCACTTTCAGTCCACACCCCTGCCCCTAATCACCGCCAAGCACTTGCTGTCAAACCATCTGGAGCATCCCCCGCTGTTGCCACCATGCCCCTGAACGTTTCTACCTCTCAACAGTCTCCTTTCCAGCCTCCTCAACCCATCCACCACTGCCCCCATCCTCTATGGCTTAGTTCAAGTTCTGTTCTGTCTTTCCACAAAGCTTTCCCAGACCCAGCCTGGATATCCCAGGAAATGAACCCCAGTGATAGAGTCTAATACTGTAGTCTTTCCATCTGTCAACCTGGCCGGCTGACCTACAAGACGCTCCTTCGGCCTGCTACCAGGTGTGTCCTGTACGGGACCCCAACCCCAGAATCTGGCACGGGCTGGAATCCAGGAAACCATCCTTACTACTCCATGACCTTGGGCATCCCAGCTCCTCTGAACCTCTTGCCTTGCCCCCCCTCACAAATCAGTCATGTCAGGTGGGCTAACTGACAAGGAAGTGTTCTGTAAAACTACAGAACTACCCAATTACAATGGAGTTTCATGCTGAATAACATACAGAAATACTGCAACCCTTAATCATGAGTCCCTTCACCTGCCACAAGCTCAGAACTCCAATTCCTCCACAATATCATTAAGTTATGAGTCTATGATCTAGTGAGGAGAGGAAGGGAAGATAAGATGGTGAGGAAATCAGTCCCTGCTCAAAATCCTGAGTCCTCCAGCAAAATCATGCACACAGTAGGTACTTGATGAAGGAGCTGCCACTGAGTGTCAGGGGATGAGCAAGGAGCCACCCCTGAAGGGCAGTCACTAGTCACTCCCTACTGGCAGGTTCAGGCTGAGAGCATGCTTGATCCTGCAGCCTGTTGTACAGGGGCTAGATTCTCACATCAAAGGACTGAAGTAAAACTGTGGAGCAACTTCCCCCAAGAAGAGACTCCTCGGGTCTTATCTGCCAGCAGCAGGCAGTCCATACTTCCTCTTCAACCTCACCACTTACAAGTCCCACAAGAAAAGTAACTCAAAAGCTTACACCCTTGACCGTCTTTCCTCCAGGCACTTATCCCATAAATGTGTCAGTAAAGAACTGTGGGGAATAAGGCTGCACCCAGGAAAGACCTGGGGATGTACTGTGTAAGGAGGAAGCCATGACCACCCTCCTCCCAATGGAAGAGATTTCATGTTATTAAAGCACTTTCAAAGCAGGCTCGCAATAACTGAGGGAGAAGAGCCTACCGAGGGTGTGCAGTTCCAGCCCAGTTCTTCTTGACTTGGCTGCACGACTCCAGAAGAGCCAACATGAGGAACCCAGAAGAGCCAACATGAGGTACAAGAAGGTCAAGGGCAGCCCTCTCACCCCTGATCTCATGGTGGGGCAGGATGACCACGTCTTGGGACATCTCCTACTCATTGGGAAGGAAAGCCAGAATCAGGATCCAGAGGGCATTAAGGTGTGTTTATCTGAGCAGCTTGGACTCAGGGCCTACAGTCTTTTTCCACTATTATTTTCCTGAGCAGGTTATCTACTGTCATAGTTATCTAGTGCTGCTATCACTGAAATACCCCAAGTGGGTGACTTTAACAAACAGAAATTTACTTTCTCACAGTTAGGAGGCAAGAAGTCCAAATTCAGGGTGCCAGCTCTAGGGGAAGGCTTTTTTCTCTCTCTCGACTCTGAAGGAAGTTCCTTGTCTCTTTTGAGCTTCAGTTCCTTGGCAATCTTCATGTAGCTTGGCATCTATCTTCCCCCATCTCTGCTCCCTGGATTCCTTGCTTAATTTGCTCCTTTTATGTCTCAAGAGATTGACTTAAAACACACTCTACACTAATACTGTCTTACTAACATAACCAAAAAAACCCATTCCCAAATGGGATTATAACCACAGGTATAGGGGTTAAGATTTACAACACATATTTTGGGGGGACACAATTCAATCCATAACATCCACAAAACCCAAAAGGTATCAAAAAGTATACAGTATATAGTAAAGTATTTTGCACCCCACTCCCACCCTGCATTAAGTAACCCAAGTCAGTGAACAAAGAACATCACCACCTGTTCTTGTGGTTCCTCTACGTTAAGACTCGCCTGGGACACCTCCTAGTCATGTGACCTTGGGCAAACCACTTAACGTTTATTGGCCTTGGTGCTTCCAGCTATAAAATAACAGAATAACCCTCATTCTTTCTTTTTCTCAGGGGTGTCATCAAGACCAGATAAGATAAACCAAGCAGATGGCATTATTTACCATGTTAAATTTGAAAACGTCACTCTCTTTAATAAAGAAAATTAAATCATTAGAGCTACACAGAAGAATGGGAGCGTCCTGTATTCCCCATCTTCCTCTCCTTCTTTCCTTTTCTCCCAGCACCATCTCCATCTAACACTCAATATACAGTATTTTGCTTGACCATCTGTCTCCCCAGCTAAATGGAAACACCGTAGGGCATAAACTTATGTGTTCTGCTCATTGTCGTGGCAGTGTCTGAATGCCTGGTACACAGTAGGTGCTCAGTATGAATTTCCAGTTCCAATAATGTCTTGAACTAAAAGCCAAATGCCACTTCACCACCTGCCTCTGACTCACAGTTGACACGGCAGTCTGGAAACGATAAAGTCAACCAAAAATTCTAATTTCCTCTTTCTAACCAGGAGAAGGGCTAAACAGAATGGAAAAATCAGGAGCTCCTGGATAAGAGTGGCATGCTAGGAAAAGGAAAATGTTTCCAATGGAGTAAAAAATAAGGCTTCAGGATAACCCCTGTTTCTTAAAGAGGGTGGAAGGAAACTCCAAGGGCCAGAGAGCTCTCAATTCCAACGGAAAAATAATGTGATTTCCAAATGCATATTTCAGAAATGAGTTCACAGCCAAGAGCTTTCTAATGCTAAAACTGTGAAGACTCAACTGAATCAAAGTAACAACCAGACCATACTTTCATCCCATTGAGAGAATCCGTTCTCCTGATGGCCCGGCAAATCCTCACCTTCCCATGGTAACGGGCCCTCAAGATGCTATCTTGCCCCGTTTTCTGACCACAAACCCAGACCCAGCAATCTGGGCCCTAGATCCAAGCAAAAACCTCAGGTGGATCAGCCACTGTTTGGAAGGCTGAGCTTGAGCTCCTCTGGGCCAGGCAGTTTGGGAGAACTGTCTGAGAGCGCAGACCGCTGCCAGCAAAAGTAAAAGCCAGCTTTCTCTATTACTTCCCCTTTCGCTTTCCCACAGGACACAGGACAGCCAAGCAGAAAAGAAAGTAGAGGCCAGACTCATCACCCTGATTTTGAAAAGTGGAGCCATGGTTTTCCCCCACCCCCTGCAGATCTAGATATTTTATACTTTGTACTTTGTAGAGTTCAGAAGTTTTCACCCATCCAACAACAGCAGAAACCACCACCTCTGCCCTGCCTCGTCTCTACAGCCCTTTCACACAGATTATCCAGTTAGATCTCAAAATAAACTAGTGAGAATTAAAGTGCAAGGGCTGTTATACCCCACTGGAGGAGACGTGGAAAAACCAGGCCTCAGGGAAATGAAGCAATCTGCCCCAAGTCCCACAGCCCCAAGTAACAAGGAAAGGGTTTGCACACGGGAAACGAACTTCAGAGTTTTCCTCAATTAATTCTGAAAAATGAACAATGTAAAAATGGAATCAGATCATTTTCGTGTCAAACGAGAGCAAGGAAAAATGCTTCTGAATTTGGTAACTAGTAGCACCATGAGGCTTATCCCCAGAGAAGTAGCCTAGGAACGAAGTAAGCATCTTCCTCCTCCTTTCCCTGCGTCCACCTGACCTAGAGGTGAGTCTTTTCTTTTGGATTTCTGCATTCAACGACTCCAGCTACACGTCCAGGGCACAGTCACTTGCCGCCCCATCAAGGCCCGATGGAGGACCGGGAAGAGTCAGCTAGACCCTAACAATCGACATAGGGGTGAGAAGCCGGCCAGGGCATGGGGAAGGGGAAGATTCAGAGCGTTCAGGCTTGAACAAGTCACACCTAACTACCCGACGAGCACCTGAGACTGGAAGCAGCCCTAGATACACAACCGTGCAACGCCAGGCAGGCGCTAGCTAAAGGCACCGGTCTCCGAGGACTGGGACGCGTTAACCACTGCCCCACCAGCTCCCGCGCATGCGCGACGACTGCAGTAGCGCAGGAAGAGTCCTGCTCCGGCTTCCACCAACCTTGGTGGGCTGGTGCTGACGCCCTGCGCATGCTCTAGCTGCTGGCGCATGCGCATGCTCGACAGCTGCCTTTTGCCTAGTCGTCCACTGTCCTCCCGTCTCTGTTCCAGACCCCGAATACGGGCTGCTCCAACCACAGCCCTCACTCCTCATTCCTCACCTTGCGCCCAGTTTTCTCCCGTAGGGCCTTCAGCCGTTCCTTTCGCCGCAGGGCCTCTTCTTCTAGCCTGCCCACACCGGCCGCAGGCCCCGCCATCTTGCGGGCCAAACCCCTCCTCACTCGCCCTGCACCGCGCAGGCCCAAGGAGAGTCTCGCGGCCAATCCAGAGGCTAGACTGAGAAAGCAGGAAGTTCCGAAAACCAATCAATGATGAGTTACTATAGAAGGTCCCGCCCACTTCCTTCCAGGCAACTCACCTAGCGGGCGAGGACCGGCGAACAAAAAAAAAAAAGCTAAGGCTGGATTGGTCCAACGCAAATCAGCGAGAAAGCAACAAGTGGAATCAGCCCTGAGAGAAGGAGATTAGAGCGCATCGATCACCCTAGTTTTGCCCAAAAAAAGCTCACTCGTCCTGGCCTCTTGGAATGCCCTTTGTCCACTTACCTGATTCTTCAAGGCTTGAATGCTTCCAGGAAGCCTTCCCTGGTCCTCCATCCCGATCTCAGCCCAATATGAGACCTGCCTCTTTCCCCCCACCCCCAGTTGCCAGTGGCCTCCCAGACTCAACTACCCCAGTGCCCCCACGGTTCTCTGCATTCACTCTAACTCAGACAAAGCCTGCACAGTGCTAGACCTAGCTAGATCGCTATTTCCCTCGAGCTCACAGATGATGCCCTTCCACTACCACCCCCTGGAGACTCAAAGTACCCTGGGGTGTGGGGGAGTCAGTCTACCTCCCCCGGAGAAGGGCTAACCCCAGCCTGGAGCCAGCGAGTCTTCAGGCCCCAAGGAACCTTCCTGAGCTTAGGAAGAACTGGCTTGGCTTCAACTGGAGCAGGCGGCCACAGGTGCAAGGTTCCCTGGCAGAAGCTTCCAGGGTCTTCTTTGCTGCATTAATCGGTGTGCGGAATAAAAGAGAGACAACTTTGGCAGGGGTGAAGGTGAAGGCTGAAGTCACAATATTCTGACAGCATGTCCAGGTTCCCAAAGCCATGCTCCTTCCAGTCCTCCAAGGCCATGCCCCTCTGACAGGGAACTATTCTGCATGTCCTCTCGTAGCTAGGCTGTTCTCTGCCTGGTGTGGTTCCTTCCCAGGCTGGCTGCAGGGAATACCACTACCCGCTTCCCAACTCCATTTAGAGGCTCCTGCGCCATAGACACTTCCTGGTCGAGTCTTCCTCCCTACCTCTTGACCTCACTAACCTGGGTCTGTTAGCACCTTCTTCCCCACCCCAGGGTGGTGAGCCCTGCCAGGGCCTGCGACACACATACTTGATGCTCAGGGAATATCAGCTCACAGGTAGGATGGGTGGGGCAGGAGAAAAGGCCAGACTGGAGCGGCTACCCAAGAAGCCAGGAGGACAGAACAGGAGGGAGATGGGAGCAGGCTCTGTCTTCTCTGGGGCCATCCAAGGTCTAGGGGGCTCCAGACTGACCAATTCCTATGACAGTCTCTCTCAAGACCCTCAATCTTCCCCCCAGCACCAACAACGTATCTGGCCCCTGCCCAACCCTCGGGCCCCTTCACTCCATGGTGGGACCTGCCTGGCACAAGGAAAGGGGCTCGGGGTGCTGGTGGCTTAGCCCGGCAGAGACAGTTGGTCAGGCCTCTGTCCCCAGCCCCACTGCTCAGGTGGTCATCATTTGACTTGTCTGGGCCTCAGTTTCTCCATCTGTAAAATATAAGAATAAGGTGCTCGCTTCCTAAGGTTAAAGACAATGAAAAATGTGAAGCAAGTGGAAGGTGGATCTGGGGAGGCTTCCTGGAGAAGGGGACCAGTGGGGATGGTGTAGAGCTCCCAGGTATCTGCTGGAAGGAGGCACTGCTCCCCGCCATAGCTCCTGAGGTACTTCAAGCTGGTCCTGCTGCTCTCTGACCATCGCCCCCACCCCCAATCCTGCTCCACAAACAATAGGAGCCCAGATGTGGCATTTCTCCCTGTAAAGCGCATAGAACAGCACCTGGAACGTGGTACGTGCTACATGTGGTCATCCTGGTTGTTGCTGCTATTATTACAAGTTGAAAGGTTGTGGCCATCCCCACATGGCCCGCAGACCCTTCCCCCTACCCCGCCGCCTGTCCCTCACACGAACTTCAGCCAAGCTGGCTGTGTCCGAGGCAGATTCAGGCCAGGGCAAATCTGGAATTCCTGACCCCGACCCTCGTCCGCAAGGCACCGATAGACTGCTCCAGAGACATCGGTGGGGGCGGGGCTGCGGGGCGTCCTCCCATGCCTCCCAGACCTCAGGCTCCTCCTCCCGCCTGGCTCCCGGCCCTTCGCACTGTCCTGGGAGAGGCGGGGCGGCGGCAGCGGCGGCTGTAGCGAAGTGCAGGAAGCCGGGCAGCTGCGGGCCGAGAGGAGGAGGAGGAGCAGCAAGCCCGGCGGGGGCCTGAGCCACGGACTTCCCCGAGTAGTACCGCGCCGCTCCGCCCAGGAGTGACGCCCTCCGCCCATGGGCCTGGCCCGGGGCAGCCGGCGGGCGGCGCGGAGGAGGCGGCGGCGGCAGGTGGCGCAAAGCGGCGCCAGAGCCGGGCCGGGCCATGGCCGTCTCGGAGCGGCTCTACGAGTTGTGGCTGCTGTACTACGCACAGGTGAGCCCGCCCCGCCCCGCGCGCGCTGTGTCCCCAGCTCCGAGTGCCCCGCGCCGCCGGGGTTGCCTATGTGAGCGCGCCCGCCAAGCGCGCTACGGCTCCGCACACGTGTGCGCCCCTGGCCCGCCAGGTGCCTCTGACACTTAGACCTTGGGAACGACCCTCAGGTGAAGGCAGCGCAGCCTGAATCGTGCCCGAGGAAAGGGGCCTTGGGGGAACGGCCGGGCCCTTACCCTTTTATAGATGGGGATAGTGAGTCCAGGAGAGAACGAGAGACTGGCTGGGTCGGGAGAAGGAGGAAGGTCACAGTTTGCATTTGGGCTGCCCCTCCCCTGGGCTCGACCCCGCTGGGTGGTCGTAGGCGACACGTCTGAGAGTGGGCTGGAGGTCTGGGCAGGCAATGGGGAGGGGGAGTTCTACCACAGATCTGACTAGACTCGCCCCAACCCTCCCTACCTGTGCGAATGAGTGGTGATAAGGGTGGCCCCACCCACCATCATGCTGTGGATGGACCCGGGGCCCCACCAGGAGCCAGAAGAAAAGGTTTTACAGTAGATGTTGAGGGTAAGGGGTTGGGAGTGAGGCCAGGAGGGATGTCTGAGAGGGAAAGAGTGAGGCCCCTTCCTCCTGAACTCCCTACCTCAGGTGGCCTCAGAACGTGAGGGGGCATGACTCTGACCCTTGTGTCCCCTCAGGACTGAAAACTTGTTGTCCCCAAACTCTGTCTCACACACATGGACCCCTCCCCCCTTTCCTTCTCCACTCACAGCAAGGAGGGATCCCAGGGTCACGCCCGCCCCACCCCCCAGCTTCACCCAGCACCAGCCTCCTTCCCTGCACCTGCCTGGCATCATGCTCCTGGCTCAGGTGTGCCCTGGGCACAATAAGACTATTGTGTGTCCTTCATCTACTTGTCACTGGAGGGAAGTTCATGCTCAGACCAGCTGGCCCTCCATGAAGAAGCCAACCAATTGTCCCCCAGGGCTGTCCGCCCCGTCTGGGGACCTGGAATCCAGGCCACAGGGGCCACAGGCTCTTTAGTTCACTCAGATTGTGAGAGGTCCAGGTCCCTGGCAGGAGGCAGTGCAGAGTACTGTTCACTGTGACCCAGGGCAAGCTCTTTGCACCTCTGAGCCTGTGCTTCCCTGTCTGTAAACTTGGCACAGCCCTGACCTCAGGGTCAGCCTGGACTTTGCAGAGGGGTAGCCAGTGTGCCTCATCCAGGCCAGACCAGAAAAGGCACCTATTCCCCTGGCCCCCTCACCAGCCTCTCTGTCTCCATTGTTAGTCCCTGTAAAGGAGTAAAGGGTCCTGAAGGAAACCTGCCCTGGCCCTCCTGCCTCTGACTACCCCTGTGACCATAGGCAGGTCCTTGGGCCTTGTTTCTTCACCTGGAACCAGGTGAAGGGAGGCTGAGCCAGATGATGAGTCTGAGGAATGGATGTTAGTAGTGTGCCTTCAGACTGGGTGGCAGACTGCAGGTGGGGAGGGATGTCTCCTTCCAGCATGGTTGCCTGCTGCTGCCCTTTCTAGCTGAGCTCTGCCTCTGGTCAGCCCCTCTACCCCCTCGGGAGATGCTTAGCGCTAATACCTGTGCTGGTGTTCCCCTCCCAGCTCCTCATCTCACGGGGCATGTTTGGGGCACAGACTGGCTGGTTGTGACCTTGGAAGCCTGCGCAGGCAGGGGACAGCCTGGGCCCAGACAAACAAATCCAGGATGTGAGTGCAAACCCGGGAGCTGGGTGGGGCCAGGCTGCCTGGGGAGAGGAAGCTCAGGCCAGCCTCCCAGCACTGCCTTCCTGCCCTCCTGGTCCTGCTCCTGGAATATCATGACCACCCCTCTATGCTGGCCTTCTTGGGAGGGATGGCTCTTGAGCCCCAATAGGGACCCATGGGCAGGGGAGACAGAGTAAGGTAAGGGGTGGAACTGATAAAGGGTGTTAAGAGACCTGAGCAGGCCAAATGCCCAGCCAGGCAGCCAGAAGGCTTCCCCAACACCTGCACCCCTCCCTTCAGCGGTGAGAGCTGACATCAGCCGGCAAACCTGTTTCCCCAGTTATGGGTCTGGGAGGGCGGGGACCCCAGGGAGTACTCCCCCCTTACTGCCCTTCCTCTCCCCTCATGGACCCCATGTTCAGACCCGCCCACACCTGCCCCACCTAGCCCTGCTCTGTGCGGGGGCACAGGTGAGGCCGGGGACTGTGGGTGGCTACTAAGGGAGGGAGAAGGGAAGGGCTGGAGTGCCCCTGGACATCACTGTACCCGATCTCCTCGGGGCCCTGGTGGGGAAACCAAGGCAGGAACGTACAAAGGTGGTTGGATGAGTTTGGGACAGAGGCAGGCGGAACTCCAGGTGAGCCTCCATCGCGTGTTCCCTTGTCCAGGAAAGGCTTAGTCCTGTGGCAGGTAGCTTCAGGCAGGTCTCCACCCTGGGACGGCAGTGTTGTTTCCTCTGCTTGGAGCTTTCTTTTGCCCATTCAAGGATGTCCTCCTTCCCTGTCTACCCCACACCAAGTTGGGCGCCAGGTCCGGCATGCCGCCATGTGAACCCTCACTATATTTGCCACTCCGCTGTTCCAGGCACTTTGCATTTAGTAGGTGCTTCTTGGGTACTGCTGAATGACGGGATTGAGGAGACGGGCCCCAGGGTGGTGAACAGTCAGAGAAGTGACCCAGAGGAGGCTGAGGGGACAGGAACAACAAGAGCATTGGGATAGACCAGGGGCAAATTGTCAGGAGCTGGGAGGTAGGGGAGGGGGAGAGGTAGCCAAGCCAAGGACTTCCTCAGGGAGGGTGTGATGGAAGCAGGGCTTAGGAGGGGGGTGGGAAGATAAGGGGACTGAGGACAGCACTAAACAGACTGGCAGTTGGGCAGCATGTAAAAGTTATACAAAATAGCATGCAAATGAGTGGCCCCTTTTCAGGCTAGAGTTGTGGTGTTGCTCAGCAGCCCCCCAGTGAAAAGTGGGGCTGAAAGGCATTCAGCGTCACAAAGGTCAGGGCAGGACCGGCACTCAGGTTACAGGTGGGGAGCCCAGGTCAAACTCACCCACCTCTCCAAGTATGCCATTGAGGACTTAAGGGTTCCAAGGAGGTCAGATCAGAGCTGGTGTTGACCTTGCATCTTCCCACCCCACCCATAGTCCCTCCCCCCGACCACTGAACTCTGCTGTCTCGTAGAAACTTGGCCAGGCCCTCTGCCCCCTCTGGGACCTTAGCTGGGTCGTGTTCCTTCCTAGGCCTCAATTTACCCTCTTGGAATGAGGATAAGAAAGGTGGAATAGCCTCCTGGGTGCTTACCACCTCAGAGGGGCAGTTCGGGGTTTCTCCCTCCCTGTCTTCATTACCAAGGCAACTGAAGGGGGTGGGACCAAGGTGATGGGGAGATTAGCACAGAGCCCAGGGTTGGGGCAGGGGTTAGTAATCCCTGGTGTTGTTATGGCAACTGGGGAGCTGATAGGGAAGTGTAGGGTACCCATGGAAACAGGTTGGTTACTATGGGGACCCTGGAAGGAAATCCCAGTTTGCATAGTAACAGGACAAGGGGAGGCTTAAGTCCTGGAGATTGTTATGGAGACCAGGAGGTCCAACCCTTTCAAAACCCTCTCACCTGAGAGACTGACCCAGCCACCTGGGCACTCCGACCACTATCCTCAGTTGTCCCTGCCCCTGGCCCCATCTTCCGGCCTCATCCTACAGCTGGTGGTCCTTCAGGTCTGACCTCCAGTCCTCCTGACATAGCCAGAAGCCACCTTTGGTTTGACATTGCCTTTCCCCTCCTGATGCGGAGTGGGGAGGCCCCCAAGCCTGGGAGAGGCTATCCAGAACAGACCCTGCCCCACTGTGTCCCATTTCTGCCTGCATCTCCCCAGAGATGGGGAACTCACTACCACCTAGGCAGCTCTGACTGGTAGGAGTCACCCACCATTGAGCTACGTCTACTCTCCCTACCCCAGGGCCCACCAAAATATTCTGCTTCCACTGCCTAGAACAGCCAGCTGGGGAGTGGCCCAGGAGTGGCCTATGAGCCAAGGTCTGCCACTAACCTGTCATTCACAGAGGTGGGTGGGGAGGAGAAAGCCAAGGGCTTGGGAAGGTGAGAACACCTGGATTTGGGGGTGGAACGCCCTCTCTCCTTGCCTTTACCAAATGCTAGGTGGGTGTAGCTCAGCCTTTCCCATTAAGCAAAAAGGAGTGGTTTTCAAGAGGCAGCTGAGGCGGAAAGAGGCTCTCAAGGGTTAGAACTGGGACTGGACTCCAGAACCACTGATGACACTCAACCACTAAGGGCCCCTGGGCACCAGACAGGGGTGGGTCCTGGGAGAGGTGCTGGTCCTTGATGGGGTATTTAGGCAGAGCAAACATGGAGAGCAAAGCAGATGCAGGCTTGGGGGACATGGGGGAGGCAGTGAGTAGTGCCCTTGGGCTGGGGCATCCAATGGGTTTGAGGATGCCAAGGCTGGAGATGAGGTGGAGGCCCTGTCTCCCTGGCAGATAGCCCCCCACCCCCACCACAGCCATCTGCCCTCAAGTTTTCTGGGTTACCTCAGAATTCTGAGGAAGTGGCACTTCCATGCCAGGGACTGTTCAGGCCTAACCTGCTTTTCGGAGCCCCACCCCTCCTCCCCTCAGTGCTCTCTGAGTGCCCTCAGGGCTGGTTGGGTATGGGTGTAGGATCTCTGCAAGGATGGCTATGAGACCCTTCCCAGGGACACCAACAAGCCAACCCTAGTTCCCACAATCATCTCCCCTAATGCTGGGCCTGGACAGCACTTACTGGTGGGTCCAAGAGCCCTGAGGAGGGCATGGCATGTGTAGCTGCTCTTGATCTGCCCTCAGGGATGATGGGGTGGGGTCGGACCCGGCCTAGTCAGGTTGGGGGGAGGGCTGGGTCAGCCCTGCCAATGGCAAGTGAGGGAGGAGCCAGCACGGGCAGAGAGTGGCACAGGGAGCCTGAGCACCACAGCCACTCCTATCCTGCTCTGCACTCTGCATGCAGCAGGTTCATCATGCTCGAGGCCCCCTGCCCCTGCAGGGGCTCCTGTACTCCTCCACACTGCAGCCTCAAGCCACCAGGTCCAGGTCAGAGCTGGGCTGAGGCGTCCCAGGGAGAAGAGGTGAGACCCGTGGAGGTGGGACAGCCAGCTACCCTCATGCCCCCCCAGTGCTGTGCTTTACAGACCCCTCAGGCCCCCTCCAGAGCTCAGGACAGCTGCCTTGATTGCCCCACTCTTGAACCCAGCCCAGCTCAAACCTGCTGAAAGTTTGCAGGACTGGACTGGTTCGGGCTGTGGCTCTAGGGAAGGAAAGTGGGAGTGTGCAGAGTCTAAGGGACCCACCTAGGTCTAGGAGGGCTGGACCAAGGGGCTGGCCACCAGGCATGTAGGGTGGGAGGTTCCTGCGTAAGTATTGAAAGCCCAAGCCACAGAAGGCACTGGGGATGGGGTGGGCAGAGGCCCGGACAGGAGGCCTAAATCAGAGATAGGATGGGTGGAGAGGCTGGAAAAGCAGGCACGGGTTAGACTGGGGGCCTCGAATGCCACAATCGGCACCTGGGCCTTTATCCCCAGGTGAGGGTGGAGGAGAACATGGCCAGATTTGGGCTTTCAGATGTTCAGCTGAGCTATAGCAGGCAAAAATAAACTACATTTCGGGGAATTATGGGTGAGTTATGATTGTGACTTGAATGGGGATGGTTTTGGTGTAGAAGAGGAAAGGATGGAGTTGGGACATCCTTGAAAGTAGATAGGAGTCTGTTGGGTCACTGAGGCAGGGGTCAGAGGTCACATGGTCAGCTTGAACTTGCTGGTCAGCAGCCATGAGTGGTTCTGGCCTGAAAGAAATGTCTGGTCTTCAGTAGCTTCAAACGTGTAGTTGAAGCTGTGGTATTGGATGAGCCATCTCCGCTGTGGCCTCCATTTCTCCATCTGTAATGGGAGGGGCTCAGAAGAAAAAGTCCAGGAGTCCTGGCCAGCTCTGGCCTTTCAGGGTCTGAGCATTTTTTTTTCCTTGCTGGTTGGTGGGGAGGTGAGTTATGGACAGGTGAGCAGGAAGGCTGGTAGTGGCAGAGGGTGGAGAGGTTGACAAAGGTGACAGACATCTCAGTGGTGTCGACTGGCACCTTGGTGGTCCCATTTCCTCTCTGGGTTACCTGGGCCTCAGATCTGTGCCAAAATGCACATGAAAAAAAAACCCAGTCACGGGCTGGAGGACTGCTCTGCCCAGGTTTCTCATGTCTGCTGGGGTTGACCCCCTCCCCTGGGGCCCATTCAGGCCTGGCCCTGAGGTCTGGACCCATAGGAGGCAAAAATTAGCCATTCATCCAAAGGTAGTTCTGGACAGGGCTTCGAACTGATTTCTTCTGGTTCAAACTCCAGCTGAGAATTTGCATTTCTAACAAGTTCCCAGGAAGTTACACAGAAGAATCACTCAAGGACCTTGTTAAAATATGGATTCCGATTCAGTATATCTGGGGTGGAAACACAAATTCTCAGCAGGGAACTTGTTAGAAATGCAAAGTTCTCAGCAAGAGTTCAGACCCGACCGAAGCCCTGATTCTGGAGACCCTTGGGTGTGTGAGTTCATGGCACCTGGGGAGCAGCCTCATACCACCGGGTGCTGGCTGTGATGTGTTTCTTGCTGCTTCACCCTTCTCCAGCCTACACCCTGCCCCACCTCTCTGGCCCTGGGAAAGAAAGTTGCCCCTCTGGTGGGGTCTCTAGATGGCACCAACACGGCGTTTGGAAGCAAAGAGGGAGGAGTTCATGCGCAGGCCACGACCCACCCCCATGCCCTGGGAAGAAGGACTCAGGAGTTTGGGCTGATGAGGGCCAGGCTAGGACTTACTCAGCTCTGTGTATGTCCCTGAGCAAAGAGACAGACGGACAGTGCCCCCAGGTCGGACAGCTGCAGATGCCTGAACGAAAGGCACTATGGCAGCAGGGGTCAGAACCCGTCCCTAGATAGGCCCCACCCCTGATCTCCAGGCCCCGCCCTCCAGCGTGTACGATTGGTCTCTGGCCTGCAAGCCCCACCTTTCTTGCCATAGCCCCGCCCCTCCAAGTCCAGGCCACACCCCCGGTGCAGCCTCCTGCAGCCTCCCTTGCTGAGCCCTGGGTGCCCCAGCAGCCCCCCCACATCCCTGCGGTCTGCCGGGAGGAAGCGGCCCCCCGCCCCCACCATGACTCTGCGCTTCCTGCCTGGGCCCGGGGCGGGAGGGGACGTTTCCCGTTTGCACCAAAGCACCAAAGTTTCCCTGACGGTGCCCAGACTCGGGCTCAGTCACTGTCTCTCTTGCCCATGGAACCAGCTCTGGGGCCGGGGGTCCAGGTAACCGGCGAGGGTGGGCGGAGGTTCCTGGGGTGAGGCAGGGCGTTCTGCCGGGATGCCAGGCCTGTACGTGTACACGTGTGCGTGGAGGAACGTGCGTGTGCATGGGTCTGCCTCACCAGCGGTGCACATGCGTGCTGGGATGCGCAGTCAAGGAAGGTTTCCTGGAGGCTGCGGCTGCTGAACTGGGAGATGGTGCAGGCTAGGGCCGAACCCAAGACTTTGTGTAGGGCGTGGCTGGTGCGTGGGAGAACTAATTCAGCTCCAGCACCAGTGTCAGCCACAGCCACACCCCAGGCTGGTGCACACTTGGGCACCTCCCCTACCCATGTCAGGCCTTCCTGGGTCCCCAAGGGTTAGGGAGGTGGGCGTGGAGACTGAGAAGAGTGATGAGGGGCCTGGAATGAGTGGTCGTTATATCCTGAAATCCCCTGATGCTGACCTTCCAAGTTCCTGTCCTCCCTCCTCCCCCACCCACTCCTCACTCCCCGTCTCTCCCGGCCCTGTACCCTAATCCCTATCTGTTCCCTGTGCCACCCTCCATTCACTATCTGCCTCTGTCCTCTGCACCCCTTCTGCCCCTCACCACTGTTCCCGTAACTCCTTTGCCTGCAGAAGGACCTGGGCTACCTGCAGCAGTGGGTGAAGGCCTTTGTGGGTTCCTTTGAGAAGAGCATCTCACTGTCCTCGCTGGAGCCACACAGGTGAGGCTGGAGCTGCACAGAGAGCAGAGCCAGGGCAGGGAGATTGGGGGGTTCATGCCCCAGTGACCCACTCTCTGCAGGCCCGAGGAGGCAGGTGCTGAGATACCGCTACTGCCCCTGGATGCCCTGCATGTGCTGGCCAAGCAGCTGGACCAGGGGGACCTGGAGCAGGCCCTGCTGCTGCTCAAGCTCTTTATCATCCTCTGCAGGTGGGCCCCTGGTGTCCACAGGCGGGTGGGGGGCATGTGGAACCACAGGCCAGTGGGAATGGGAGGATGGCACAGCACTTTGACCTCTGCCACCATCACTCTTCCAGGAACCTAGAGAATGTAGAAGCAGGCTGGGGCCAGGTGCTGGTGCCCCGGGTGCTGGCACTGCTGACCGGGTTGGTGGCCGAGGTGAGGGGGCTCCACCTTGGGGTAGGGGGGGCAGGTGGTAGCCACAGCTAGGCTAACTCCCTCTCCACTCTCTCTCCCATGACTGACCACAGTTGAAGGGACCAGCACCATCGCAGGAGGACCATGGGCCCCGTCTGGAGAGTGTGGCCCTGCATGCTCTGCTCCTCTGTGAGGGACTCTTTGACCCCTACCAGACCTGGCGACGCCAGCACAGCGGGTGAGACCCAGCCCACTGGCAGGGGACAGGGAGGAGGCTGGAGAGAGCATGGCTGTGGGCGAAGGGCAAGGGCAAAGGTGTGGAGGTGGGCTGGGCCTGTGTGCCGGCCTGTGAGGGGAGGAGGACGGAGACAGGGAGAAGGGGTGAGCCCAGGCTGGTGGGTCATCAGTGCCTGGCCTCACCCACCCCTGCCCACCCTCATTACCTAGGGAAGTCATCAGCTCCAAGGAGAAGAGCAAATACAAGTTCCCTCCTGCTGTTCTGCCCCGTGAATTCAGCGCCTTCTTCCAAGGTCAGGCCCCGCCCCTGGCCCCAAACCTGGGCCCCTTCCTGCAGTTCCCTAACACTTGCAAGACCTGACCAGAGCAATGGTGGCTGCACACAGGGCTAGAGTCACAGGGATTTGAGTGAGCTCCCCAAGCCCAAGTACAGGGGCAGAGAGGAGGTTAAGGGCATGCCTGGGCAAAACGAATAATTCCTTTCCTCATCTGGAATGAGCGCCTCCCATCAGGTGGGAGGGGGTATCCTCCCTGTCCCTCTTGGGCAGCCTTGATTTCTCATCCACTTTTCTCCCATCTCCTGGATCCTTTCAGCACCTTGTGCCCCGCCTTGATCTGGACCATCTTAGAACTCCCTGTTCACTCCCTCTTCCCCTGTAGCCTCCACCCAGTTTTCACCCCTCCTCAGTACAATGTCTACACACGATGTCTCCACCTCCTGCCCCCTCAGTCCCACTTGATCTTGAGGAGTCGACCTCCAGGACATCTCTGACCACCTGTTCTCCCTGGTGACCCTCTTCTCCTAGGTCGCTGGAGGCATCTCCCCTCCTGGAACTGTTGGTCCCACTCCAGACACTTAGTAGCTCCAGGAGCAGCACAGAGACACTGAGACACTTCATATCCCAATGGGCCACCACCTTCCCACCTTCCCATAGTCATGCCTGCCCCCATCCAAGTGACATCCCGCCCTGAGCCCACCTCAAGTCTTGGTCCCACTTTGAGCTCCTGGCCTCCATTCTCCCCACAGCTTGTGTACTCTTTTTAAACTAGATTTTCTTACTCCCGCTTTAAATCCCTCGATGGTGGCCTGTTGCCCTCAGGATCAAATCCTTCTCCTCCCCACAGCCTTCCTCTCTAGCCCCACTTATTGCCTGCTCCCCAGCCATGTTTCCATCCTCTCCTCTCATTCCTAGAAAGCAACAAGCTCTCCCACTTCAGGGTCTTTGCCCAAACATTCCTTCTCCCTTCACAGACCTCACCTCAAAAGCCTTGTTCCCAGGGAGACACCCACCCATCCCACCTGAACCGAGCCACCCTTGCTCCTGATTCCCCCAGCAGCCCCCACGTGACCCAGGGTTGGTCCCTTCTGTTGTCCTGGTTTCAGTCCTGTCCAGCTTTGCTGGCACCAGGCCACGTGGCCCTCCCATATATGAATCTGTGAAAGCCCCTAGAAGTCCCCGGCGTGGGCGCAGGAGGGGGAGGGAGGCCATCTGCAAAGTAGATACAGCAGGGTCCCCACAGCAGGGCAGGGCGGGGAGGAGGGCAAGGGGGGGCTCCAACCGTCACAGGGGCAGAGGGAGCAGATTTGCATCTGAGAAACTAAACCCTGGGTCACTGTGGGGAAGCACAGGATGTGCTCACCCTGGGCCCCCCTTCCCACTTTGGGGCTTAAGGATCTGGGGAGCTGGCTAGCCCCTCAAGGCAAGACCACATCCCCCCGAGGCTCCCCAGAGAAGGGCCATGTCCCCCTCAGACTCCCCAGCGTAGCACCATGACTCCTTAGACCCCCGCACGGTGGGACCATGGCCCCTCAGACCTCCCAGGGTGGAGCCAGGTCTCTTCCTCAGATTGGGTCTCCCATCCCTAATATCTCTCGTCCCCCCACCTAGGGCACCCACTTCCTGTGCAGCCCCCTGGGTCCACACCCCAGCCACCTTGATGACATAGTCCTTCCCTGCCCTCCCCCCACCCAGAGAGCCTGCAGGATGCAGATCGTCTGCCTCCCATGCTGCTGCTGCGTCTCATCCACCTCTTTGGTGCCATCCTTGCAGGAGGGAAGGTAGGCTGGGATGTGAGCCTGTGGGGTAGAGGGCAGGCACCTCAGGCTCTCTCAGTTGGGTGAGTGCCGCGCTCCCACTGCCCCACTCTGTTCATGCCTGCAGGAGAATGGGCAGATGGCCGTGAGCGCTGGTTCTGTGCAGGGCCTGCTGGGTGTCGTGCGGCGTTGGGGCCGTGAGCCTGCCCAGGACCCCCGCCTAGTGCCACTGGCACTAGGGTCACTGGTGGGCACAGTACACGCCCTGCACACCAGCCGCGCACCCCCCCGTGGGCCAGAGCTTCGTGCCCTGCTTGAGGGTTACTTCCACATCCTTAATGCCGACTGGCCGACTGGTCCAAGCCCAGGCCCTGAGGAGACACTTGTCAGTCTGCGGGTCAGCATGCTTGGTGGGTGTGCACTCCTGGGCTGTTGGGGTGGGGGCACCGGGAGAAGCAGGCTCAAGTGAAGATGGAAAGGCTGGACTGGGCAGCCTGGGGAAGAAGGTTTTGGGCTGCCTGGAGGTGCTCGGGGGGCATTGGGCAGGACTGACCCTTGACCCCTCCACAGATGCCATCCCCATGATGCTGGCATGCAAGGACCGGCCAGTGCTGCAAGCCACCTTCCTCAGCAACAACTGCTTTGAACACCTCACTCGCCTTGTCCAGAACAGCAAGGTAGGCAGGGCCCAGGCAGAGAGTGGAGGGCACAGAGCCAGAGGCTGGGGAAGCATGCCTAGGTACCCAGCTGAGTGCACATGGGCTGGCCCCAGCTGTGAGTTCGTGGCCAGTGAGGTTACCTAGAGTTCAGTGGGAGGGCTGGGGCATAGATGAGGGCCTGTCTCCTAGTGCTTCTATAGGGGCTGAGCCTGGGGCTCAGGACGGCTGTGTCCCCTATGGGACAGGGTGGTGTGGAAGGATAGGAGTTGCCCTGGCACTTGTTTCCCTTTCCCCAGCCCAAGTACAGGGCCAGGAGGGCCCAGCTGCTTTTGGATGCATGGCCCATTCCCCGCACTCATCTGCCCGCTGACTCCATCTGTATGAGCAGGGCGTGGGTGGCTCAGCTTCCCTACTCTTCCCTAGTGTCTGGTGGGGCACTTGGCCTGGGGCTCAGGGCTCACACTTCCATCTGGGGCACAGCCCTGGCAGCTGCCCCCGTCCTGCTCTAACCCTACCCCTCCCCATCTCCCTCCTCTTCTCTCTCCTCTGCCCCCTCCACCCCGTGCCCCCCCCCCGCCACAGCTGTATGTGCAGGCCCAGGTGCCCCCTGAGGGGGACAGTGACCTGGCTACCCGGTTACTGACTGAGCCCGATGTCCAGAAGGTACCGCCCTGGGGCTGGCCAGCTCAGGCACCCACCTCCCTGGGGCACCCACCCCCTGCAGCTCCTTGCTGAGCCTTCCTTGCACTATAGCAGGGGGATGAGCAGATGTGGGTAAGGCCTGCTGTGGCCTAGCAATAGGGGGGTGGGTGTCCCATGCTGTCTCACCCTCCTTCCAAGTCCCCATCCTAGGGAACGTGGCACAAGGTGGTCTGTGCCCGCCTGATGCTCGTATTGGGAGCTGGGGTTTGGCTGCACCAGATTGGCAGGAACCTTCGAAACTTTTAACCACCTTTTCTCAGGTGGAAAAACTGGAAGCCCAGATACTCAGGAATTTGGCTGCAGTCTTCCACAGAGAAGGGTGTCTTTCTGTGGCTACTTGCACCTTAAGCAGGTCGCTGGGAGTCCCCTGTCCCCTTGGATGTGCTCCCTCCTCACCTTGCACTGGGGCTGTAGGAGGCTGTAGGGTGACAGTGTGGGGGCCCCACATGGGCACTGTCTCTCTGTGGTGGCTCAATTCCCCGGCCCTGACCTCCAGAGCCCTTGCCCTGGTCTTGTCTCCATGACAGCACCACATACCCACTGCACTTGACCATTTTCTGAGAGCCTGCATGTCTTTTCAGTCGTGTTCAAAGCAGGCAGGGGAGGGGCAACCCCACTCGCTCTTACAGATGAGGAAACTAAGGCCTGAAGGGAGGAAGAAGGTTACCTAAGGGCACTTGGAGAGTGGGGCCAAACTGGGACCGAAGGCTCCATGGGGCTAAAGCATGGCCCAGCACCTGCTGACAGACTCCCCAAGCTCTCGTGACCCCTCATTCTTCAGTGTGGGCCAGTGAGCAGCATGCCTTGCTGCCAGGCTCAGCCAGAGTGAGCCTCAGTGTCCCCACCTGGATCTAGGGAGCATGGGGCAGGGTAGACTCAAAGGTTTCGAAGGTTCTTCTGGTTCTAACATCCTGTGATTGATTATCCCTAAATCCCCTGATCCCTGTCAATCATCACGGGTGATGGGGCACTCGCTGGCCTGCCTGCACTGCACGTGTGTGTATACCTTGGTGGGGGGGGGGGAATGGGTGGGGACTGGGACCCATAAGCCCACCAGAAAGTGGTGGGGCAGGAGGGACCTGCAATCAGAGTGTTCTCTGTCCATCTGCCTTCTCGAGACCTTTCCCCAGCCTTGGTTTCTTCTCTGGCCCCTTTGTCAGAGTGGGCCTTGCGCAACTGCCTACAAAGGACCCTGGCCCAGGGTGAGGGTCACAGCAGTCAGGGTGAGGAGCAGAAGGCCTGGTGCCAAGACAGGGTTGCTGATCCACTCCTGCACTCCTGGTCCCCCAGCTCAGCTGCCTGCCTGGGGCCTGCATTCCTGTCTGTGTACCCCTTTTCCTGAAGGAAGCTGCCAGGAGCCACATCCTGGCCTTTCCTAACCGCCCCTCCCCACCCCAAGGTCCTGACCCAGGACACAGATGCCATTGCAGTCCACGTCATCCGGGTGCTGACCTGCATCATGAGCGGCTCCCCCTCAGCCAAGGTGAGAACACTGCGGTCTGGATGTGCTGGGGGCGGGTGGAAGTGAAGCTGACCTTATGTCCCTAGAACTGACCTGGTGGGGCTATGAACCCTGTTCCCTGAAGCAGAGCAAGTGACCATGCTGCCCTCTAGGGGGCAGCTCAGTCCACTAGGCGGGCATGCTCGCCAGTCAGTCCTGGGCATTGGGTAGCCTGGGTCAGGGCTGGGTGAGGGGACACTTGGGGGCTGAGCACTGTCTGCAGCCTTCTCAGGGGCCCCTGCTAGCACTGAGACTCAGAGGCAGAGCCTGGTGAAGGGTCCCCGAAAGACAAGACCCCCTCCAGGGTTCCACGCAGTGTAAGTTTGCCACGGGGCCCGCAGACAGTGGTACCCACCTGATGCTCACTCTTGCCCCCACAACCCTGCACAGGAGGTGTTTAAGGAGCGCATTGGCTACCCTCACCTGCAGGAGGTTCTGCAGAGCCACGGCCCCCCCACCCATCGGCTACTGCAAGAGCTGCTCAACATGGTGAGGGCGGGGCTGGGGGGCCAGGGTCCCCAGGGTGGCCACTCTCACTGTGGTAGGCACCAGGGCCCGCACAGAAGGGGAGCTGTCCACCTTAGGGGGCTGTGCTGACTGTGGCCAGTACCCAGTGTGACCCACGGCCCAACCACACGTGTCAGTCTCACTGGGGTGAGGACTCTGGGCCGTGTGGGGCCCTGGAAGCCGCTGCATCTTTCCAAGCCCCAGGGTCATCCTGGAGACATGCAGTTGGGGTTAAGCCGAGGCCTGGGGTGGGGGAGGTCAATAGTGCAGAGGGACTGTGGTTAGCAGTGACGGTCATCCATGTGCCCCTCTTTCCTGAGGCTCAAACACCAGCTGTGAGCGGGATGGGGTGGTGCTTTCTCATGCTGTAGGCAAGTAAACCGAGGCAGGAAGTCCCACTGTTGGCAGGGTGGCCTGTGCTGTGCCACAGTTGCCCAGGGACTGTCACATTCCCTCCACCCACAGGCTGTGGAGGGTGACCACAGCACATGCCCGCCGCCACCGATCCGCAATGAGCAGCCGGTGCTGGTGCTGATGCGGTGGCTGCCATCACTGCCTACAGCCGAGCTGCGGTTCTTCCTAGCACAGTGCCTCTGGTGGCTCTGCAACAGCTGCCCTGCCAGCCGTGCCACCTGCGTGCAGGCGGGCCTGGTGGGCTGCCTGCTGGAGACTCTCAGCACGGGGCACGCCCTGGGGGCCCGCTGCCAGGAGCAGCTGCTGGCACTTCTGCAAGCGCTGGGCAGTGTGTCACTGAGGCCCTTGGAGCTGCGTCGCCTGCTGCGGCCCCCACCAGGGCTGGACTCAGGGCCAGGTGGAGCTGAGGCCGAGAACGCCCGGCACGCGGGTGCCATCATCCGTGCGTTGTTAGGCATGGTCCGGCACCAGGGTCCCGCCCGTGCCCTACGCTACTTTGACCTCACGCCCAGCATGGCTGGCATCATGGTGCCCCCTATGCAGCGCTGGCCTGGACCTGGCTTCACCTTCCACGCCTGGCTTTGTCTGCACCCTACGGCTGCAGTGCCTGCCCCGGCCCCCACCCGGCCACTTCAGCGAAAGCAGCTGTACAGGTGAGTGACAGCCAGGGGCCAGGGGCATGGTGCCAGGGGAGCAGGAGAGCAAGCAGGCATAACTGGCTTGGTCTGCCCCTAGCTTCTTCACCAGCAGCGGCTCAGGGTTTGAGGCCTTCTTCACTGCGGCTGGGACGCTGGTGGTGGCCGTGTGCACCCGGAAGGAGTACTTGACCATGAGCCTGCCCGAGGTGTCTTTCGCCGACTCAGCCTGGGTGAGCCCCTCTTCTGCTCACGAGGCGCAGAGGCATGCGGGGGCGGGGTGCCGAGCCCCATCCCACAGCCTGATGGCACGGCCTCTGTTCTAGCACTGTGTGGCCATCGTCCACGTGCCCGGGCGCCGGCCCTTCGGCCAGAACCTGGTCCATGTCTACAAAGATGGCTCTCTGGTCAAGACAGCACCCCTTCGCTGCCCCTCCCTCAGTGAGGTGTGTCAGGCAGGGTTTGGGGGCCTGGGGGTTGGTGGGGAGACTTGGAGCAGGGTGGGGCCTGGAGTTCCTGTGTGTCTTCCCCCACAGAACTCAGACTTCAGGGTCCGAGGTCTGTGCAGCTGTGGGGTCCCTGGGAGGGACTGGATGCAGGTGGAGCCCCAGGCTTTGCTGTGCCCTAACCACTGCCCCGCTCCCGGTTCCGCAGCCCTTCTCCTCCTGCTGTATCGGCTCTGCTGGGCACCGCACCACAACCACCACCACGGGGCTGCCTGAGCCACCACTGCCTGCTGCCTTAGCTTACACTCACCCCTCGCTCACCCGCTCCCAGTCAGTCCCAGCCTCCACAGGGCTGGGCTGGGGGTCTGGGCTAGTGTCCCCCCTGCAGGAGGGCAGCATCAGCTCCACCCTGGCAGGCACACAGGACACTCGGTGGGGCAGCCCCACGTCCCTGGAGGGCGAGCTGGGGGCCGTGGCTATCTTCCATGAAGCCCTGCAGGCGGCGCCTCTGCGGGCCCTGTGCACCCTCGGTATGCAGCACCCTCCACCCTGCCCGCCCCAGTCCCTACTCCCAAGTGGTTGGGACTTGCAAGCCACCTGGGCCAGATACTAGGGTCCCAGGGAGGGGAAAGCGTCTCTGGAGGTCTGTCCTCCGGTCAGACAAAGAAGAGACAGGCTCTGGATGGGGTTTGGCCAGAGGCCCAGCCGGGTCTGAAGCCCCTGCCCACCCGCAGGGCCCAATGAGATGGCACCCTTCAAGCCCGAGGGTGAGCTGCATGAGCTCGCCACCAAGCTGCTCCTCCATTACTCACCACAGGTATGAGGGTGGAGGCGACTCCCATACCCCATCTGCCTGCCCCCTCCTCCACCTGCCCCTTCTGACCGGCTCGCACCCCTGCCCCCAGGCCTGCAAGAACAACATCTGCCTGGACCTGTCCCCTGGCCACGGGCTGGACGGTCGCCTGACAGGCCACAGGGTGGAGACCTGGGATGTAAAGGTGCCTGTGTGTGCATGTGTGTGCAAGGGGCACGTGTGTACAGGGCAGGCTGGGGAGTGGGGCTGTGCCCTGGGAGGGCTCCCTGGATCTGGGTTCCCAGGCTGGAGGGCCTGTGGGGCGGAGCAGGGCCCAAGTGGTGTGTGGCCAGAGCCTGGCTGGGAGCTGCCCTCTCACTGCTGCCCCCTGCCCCCAGGACGTGGTGAACTGCGTGGGGGGCATGGGTGCCCTGCTACCCTTGCTGGAGCGAGTGGCTATGCAGCCTCAAGAGGCCGAGGCGGGCCCAGCCGAAACACATGACCTCGTGGGGCCCGAGCTGACCTCTGGCCACAGCACCCAGGGCCTGCTTCTCCCACTGGGCAAGTCCTCAGGTAAGTGTCCCGGGCACCTGGACTGGGAAGGAGGGCACTCTCAGCATGATGGCAGGGAGGGGAGGACTGGCGTGCTTGAGGCGTCTGAGGCTGCTGGCAGGCCCTTGACAAACACTTGTCCCCCGCCTGGTGGCCAGCAGAGGAGCGGATGGAGAAGAATGCAGTGGCTGCCTTTCTGCTGATGCTGCGCAACTTCCTGCGGGGCCACGCCGTGAATCAGGAGAGCCTGGTGCAGTGCCAGGGGCCTGCCATCATTGGGGCCCTCCTGCGCAAGGTGGGGCCTGGTGGGGGAGGAGAGTGGGGTGCCCTGTGTGACCAACGGGACTGGGTGGGGGACAAAGAAGGGTGAACTTGATGTTCTGTCTGTCAGGATGAGGCTCCCGGCAGAGGGAGCATTTGAGCAGGGCCTTGAAAGGCTGTACGGGGTTTGTCTGAGAGGGTCTGGAGAGAGGGCATTCCCGGCAGAGGGAATAGCACAGGTAAAGTCAAGCCCCAGGGCAGGGCAGACGATGGGCACAGCAGGCTGAGGAGCTTGCAATTGGGAGGCAGCAGGGACCCACCAGGGGTTTGGAGCAGGACAGCCGTGGTCATGTGTTTGCCCATCTGCCTAGGCAGGGAAGGGTGGAAGCTGGGAGGCCTAGACAGCACGCAGGTGGGGCCCTGACATCTCACCCTGCTCTGTCTCCCACCCCAGGTCCCAAGCTGGGCAATGGACATGAACGTGCTCATGTCTAGCCAGCTGCTGATGGAGCAGGTGGCAGCCGAGGGCTGTGGGCCCCTCCTGTACCTTCTCTACCAGCATTTGCTCTTCAACTTTCACCTCTGGACCCTCAGCGACTTTGCTGTGCGCCTTGGTGGGTGAGGGCACGTGGGTGGGGGATGGTTGTAGGATGGGTGGTGGGGGTTCTGAAAGGTTATAACCCTGCCCTGGGCCTCTGAGGGAACATGACTGGCCCTGGGAGGTCTGAGGGGACATATCTACCCGGGGGGAGGGGCCTGCAGGCAGACAGCTCTGCCCTGGGCCTCTGAGGGAACACGGCCCAGTCTTGGGAGGTCTGACAGGGGCAAGGCCCTGCCCTGGGGGGCCTGAGGGAACCCAGCTCAGCCTGGGGGCCTGAGCCCTCTGCTGATGCCCACTCAGGCCACATCCAGTACATGTCCAGCATAGTCCGTGAGCACAGACAGAAGCTGCGGAGGAAGTACGGGGTCCAGTTCATCCTTGACGCCCTGCGCACCCATTACAGGTGAGGGTGGTGGGGCAGGTGGGCCATGGGGAGCTGACATAGTGGCCTCTGACCTTGGGGACAAGGTGTTTCCCCTCCGCAGCTCACCTGCCCGCTCTCCCTGTTCTCTCCCCTCTGTACCTTCTGCTGTCCTGGACCTGGGTGGGTGTGCCTGCTGGGACCGGCCTAGTCCACAGCGGGAGCACCCCCTTGTGGCTGATGACCTGCACACGGTGCAGACCTCACTCCTGGGCCTGGCTCGGGAGTTCCTGGCGCGGAGCTTCTCCACTGATGACATGCAGGTTGTGCTGAGCTTTCTGGCTGCCACCGGTGATGATGGCCAGGTAGGCTGAAGGTTGGGTGAGGGTGAGGGTAAGGGCCAGATTAGGGCTGGGGTGTGGGCCCCAACATGTGGTCCAGCCCAGTGTGAGACTTTGCATCCCCAGGTGGTAGGCACACTGGACCTGTTGCTGGCGCTGCTGCAGGGCTCACCAGCACAGGAGCCGCTGGCTGCCTTCCTGCTGGAGCCTGGGAACCTTGAGGTGCTGCTGGCACTGCTGGTGCGGCCAGAGTCACTGCCCCTGCTGCCCGACCGAGTCTGCAAGGTACACCCTGCCCACTCTTGGCCCTGGCATCCCATTTGCTGTGGCCCCTGCCTGGGCTCGGTGGGGGTGTGCCTCAGACCTGGGGCCAGCGGATGAAGCTGCCCTCTCAGGCCCCACTTGGAGCCACACACCTGTGTGATGACTTACCTTCCTACAGTAAGGATGCCCCCGCACCCCATAATATCCACACAGATCCTGCGCAGACTGCAGCAGAATGAACGCTTGCCCGAGCGGAGCCGCCAGCGACTCCGACTGCGGGAGTATGGCCTCCAGGGCCTTGTTGCTTGCCTGCCCGAGGGCACTGTTTCTCCGCAGCTCTGCCAGGGCTTCTACAAGCTGTTCTTGGGGGCAGGTACAATCTGGTTGGGGCCAAGAGGCAGGCTGGTGAAGGGTGACATGTATGAAGGAAACGGCAGGTAGGGATAGGGAAGGTGGTGGTCGAGGGGCCAGGGCTGAACTAGCAGGGGAGCACAGTGCCCCCACTGGGGTAAGTCCCTCAGGCCCCCTCTGCTGTCCTCCCAGATTGCCTGAACCTCTCAGATCTGATGGCCGTGGTACAGCTATCCCTCCAGGCTGACCTCAGCGTCCGCCTGGACATTTGTCGCCAGGTGAGTGTGGGAGGTGAACGCTTGGGGAGGGGTGGGAAGCTTCTACTCTCAGGACTTCGCTTTGTCTGCCTGTGTTAAAGGGTCTCTGGAGGCCGCCCCTGCAAAGACCCTAGGCTAAGGGTCTGGGGGCAGGCGGTCAAATGAGTCCCTCACCGCTGTGCTCTGACCCGGCAGCTCTTCCACCTCATCTACGAACAGCCAGACATAGTGCGGCTTCTGGCCCGCCAGGCTGGCTGGCAGGATGTGCTGACCCGGCTGTATATCCTGGAGGCCACCACGGCTGGTGCTCCCCCACCCTTTCCCCCAGAGCCACCCACCTCCCCCGAGCCAGCCCTGCACAAGCCACCCAATGAGTCACCTGCCGAGCCTTGCGACGTCTTCTTGCCCTCAGAGGCCCCCTGCCCTGACCCAGATGCCTTTTATCAGGCTCTCTCCCCCTTCTGCACGCACTTTGACCTGGGCCTAGAACGGGCCAGTGTGGGTTCCGGCAACACTGCCGGTGGCACCAGCAGCAATGGGACTCTGACTCCGGCCAGCCAGCCTGGTACACCCTCCCCACTAGATGGGCCCCGGCCCTTCCCTGCTGCCCCCGGCCGCCACAGCTCCAGCCTCTCCAATGTGCTGGAGGACGGCAGCCTCCTGGAGCCCGCCATTAGTGGGGATGACACCTCAAACACCAGCAGCCCTCAGGTGAGGCGGCACCACCCCTGCTGCAGGGTGCTACATAGCACCCAGGGGAGCACCTCTGGAATACAGGGCTGGCAGTGTAGCCTCTCCAAAGGTGGGGCCCTGTTCAACACCAGGGCTGCAGCTGCCAGTTGAGCCCAGTGCTGCCCCCTGTCACACTCATCTGCAGTTGTGTTCCCAAGTGGGGTCCCAGAACAGGATGGTCATGCCGGGCCAGTGTTGGGGTGCACGCCAGGCTTCCCGAGGGCCCCCAAGACAGCGTGTAGGGCAGAGACTATGCAGAGCCTAAGGGAAGCAGAGCAAGGTCCTGGCTTGGGCTCCTGGGCTTGGGGGAGGGTCTCTGCTCATTCTATGGGGTTCTTCCAGAGAATTCTGAGACAGTTCATAGGATGAGGACTGCAGGGTAATTTTGTGAACTGCCTCATCTCCCTCTGGGAGTCCACTGAGACCCCAGGATTCTCCCTTCAGTTCAGACAGTGGCTGAGGCCCCTACACCATTCTCCCAGGCCCTCAGTACTGGGCTGAATGCTTTGCCTCCTGCTGTCCCTACTAGGGAATGGGTAAAGGGTGCTGAGCAGGGATGGTGTGAGGGTTAGCCTGAGTCCCTCCCTCCCCAGCCCAGAGCCCACACCCCCTGACCTGTGCCCACAGCAAACCCCTGAGGAGGAGTTGTGCAACCTGCTCACCAACGTGCTGTTCTCAGTGACGTGGCGGGGCGTGGAAGGCAGTGATGAGGCTGCCTGGCGGGAGCGGGGCCAGGTCTTCTCGGTACTCACCCAGCTCGGGGCCTCAGCCACACTTGTACGCCCACCAGACTGCATCAAGCGCAGGTGAGAGGTCAATTCGGGAGGGCTAGGGGCCTAGGGAAGCCTGGGGGCAAAGGAGGGCAGTTAGGTAGACACCTTGAGTCCCTTGCCCACCTGCAGCCTCCTGGAGATGATGCTGGAGTCAGCTCTGACCGACATCAAGGAGGCCTCGACTGGGGTCCTGGCGAGTCTCACCCAGCAGGCGCTTTGGCTGCTGCGCCTGCTGCAGGACTTCCTGTGTGCTGAGGGCCATGGAAACCAGGAGCTGTGGAGTGAGAAGGTGGGGCGGCTCAGAGCAGTTAGCCGCATAAGCACCCATGTTCTGGAACATCTGCATCCTTGGGGTGGGGAGATGGATGAGTACATGCATGCCTCTGACACGGGTGCCTCAGTGTCAGAGTGCTGGGCTGAGGTGAATGCTTGTGGACACGGCTGTCTGTGAGCATGAACTTGTCTGTGTGTGCAAACCATCCTTGCCCTACCTGTCCCCCAGCCCAAACCTACCCTTGGCTCCCTCCTGGTGGGCTTCCAGCCTTGCCTGGTGACATGTGCTGGAAATATGTTGTACGCGGCAGCTTTTGGAAGGTGTGTGCAGCCTACTTGATCGCCTGGGGGCCTGGCTGCACCTGGCCGACGGCACAGCAGATCTCCGGGAAATGGCACAGATCGGCCTGCGCCTGGTGCTTGGCTACATACTGCTGGAGGACCCGCAGGTGAGCATGTTGTTGGGGGAGGTTAGGGAGGATAGGGGCAAGGAGTGGGTGACAGGTGTACGGAGCTCCAGGAGAGGCTGGGCTGCCTCCACACCCCTCCTTTTCCCACAGCTGCATGCCCAGGCCTACGTGAAGCTGCACGCGCTGCTGCAGACCACAGTGCCAATGCGTCGCGAGGAGGCCTGCTACGTGCTCTCTAAGCTGGAGGCGGCACTGGCGAGGGCACTGAACTCCTCCTCTGAGACAGCCACCGGGGACGCGGGACCCCCAAATCCCACTGCTACAGCTTCAGAGCGCTGCTCATGGCTGGTTCCACTGGTGCGCACGCTGCTGGACCGTGCCTATGGGCCACTGGGGCTGCAGTGGGGGCTGCCCTCCCTGCCGCCAACCAATGGCAGCCCCACCTTCTTTGAGGACTTCCAGGCCTTTTGTGCTACACCTGAATGGCGTCTCTTCATTGACAAGCAGGTGCCCAGAGGTGGGGGCCGGGGAAGAGAAAAGGGAGGTGGGAGCCCCCCTTGAACACCTGTCTCTTCTCCCTGCCCAATCCTCCAGGTACAGCCCACCATGTCGCAGTTCGAAATGGACACGTACGCTAAGAGCCACGACCTCATGTCAGGCTTCTGGAATGCCTGCTACGACACACTCATGAGCAGTGGGCAGCGGCACCGACGCGAGCGCACCCACAGCCGCCAGGCCTTCCAGGTTTGTGGCCTGGGGTGGGGGGTGGGGAGTAGCGGATGGGGGCCTGCCCCACACACGTGCCCAGCAGAGGAGGCTGACGGGACAGAGTGGAGAAATGGCCTGAACAGGCAGCAGCCAGCAGGACTGACCCGCCCCCTCTCCCTCTTATCCCCCAGGAGCTGGTGCTAGAACCCACACAGAGGCGCACCCGCCTGGAGGGGCTGCGCTACGCAGCTGCGGTGAAGCAGCAGGCGGCCCAGCACTCCACTGCCTTGCTGCACTGGGGAGCGCTGTGGCGCCAGCTCTCTAGCCCCTGCGGGGCCTGGGCACTGAGGTGGGCTGGCCTCAGGGCAGAGTCAAGGTGGAGGGGTGGGGCTTTGTAGGTAGGGATGGGACCTGGAGAGCCAGGCTGCAATTGCAGTGGGGCCTGGGTGGGTCACTGAGGGCCGGAAGGGATAAAGAGTCTACAGCCTTCTACCCTCCCATGACCACCACTGGGTACATACCTGCAGGAACCCTCCCACTCCCCGCTGGAAGCTGTCCAGTGCTGAGACATACTCCCGCATGCGTCTGAAGCTGGTTCCCAACCATCACTTCGATCCTCACCTGGAAGCCAGTGCCCTTCGTGACAACCTGGGTGAGGGGCTGTGCTAAGCTGGTTCCACTCAACCTCTATGCCCCTCCTGCTGAACTCTGGCTGAGTGCCCTTTTCCCCACTGCAGGGGAGGCCCCCCTGACACTCACCGAGGAGGCCTCGCTGCCTCTGGCAGTGACCAAGGAGGCCAAAGTCAGCACCCCACCCGAGGAGCTGCAGGAAGACCAGCTAGGCGAGGACGAAATGGCCGCGCTGGAGACAGCGTGAGTGGGGCTGGGAGCTAGCCTGCAGCACCTGGAGAGGTCTGACTGGGGAGTGGACAAGGGTCTGCAGTTCAGATCTCTGCTCCAGTGCATGGTACCTGCTGTGGGATTGACTCCCCTAGTCTGTTTCTCCTACTGCCGGGCTCAGCACCCTGAAGGGACTGACCAAAATGAGGTGGGGGAGTTTGGGAGAGTCTTCTAGCTGGGTTGATGGTTGCTCTTTGGCTAGGCACGTAAGAGAGGACGGAGAAACAGACTGGAGGGGCAATGGGTAGGGGCTGGGCTGGGGAAGTAGGGGAGGGGCAAGATGTTCAGAGGTTGGGGAAGGGAGGGTGGGACCAGGGGCAGTGGGTGCTGGGCCCTGGGCAGCTCTTCCTAAAGACACGAATGTGTATACCTCATGCCTGGATGGTGCTCAGGGAGTGTGGCTCTTGGGTGTGCAGGGTGGGGATCCCAGAGCCTAGAGCCTGAGGTGGGCGCTGGCCCCTAGGATGAAGGCTGCGGAACTGGATGAGCAGCGCGAGAAGCTGGTGCTGTCGGCCGAGTGCCAGCTGGTCACGGTGGTGGCTGTAGTCCCAGGGCTGCTGGAGGTGACCACACAGCACGTGTACTTCTACGATGGCAGCTCCGAGCGTGTGGAAACCGAGGAGGGTGCGGCCTGGTGGAGCGAGTTGGGGGGATGGCAGGGGTCTGGGACGAGTGACTCCCACACCCACCACTTGTCCCCATAGGTATCGGTCATGACTTCCGGCGCCCACTGGCCCAGCTGCGGGAGGTCCACCTGCGGCGTTTCAACCTGCGCCGCTCAGCGCTTGAGCTCTTCTTCATCGATCAGGCCAACTACTTCCTCAACTTTCCTCGCAAGGTGGGTGGGACCCCAGCCTCATCCGCTCACCAGGCCCTGAGCCTGCCCAACTGCAGCTTAGCCCCAACCCTGCCCCATCCCACCCTACCGCACACCCAGGTACGGAACCAAGTATACTCATGCCTCCTGCGTCTACGGCCACCCACCCAAGGCTACCTAGGCAGCCGCTCGCCCCAGGAGATGCTACGCGCCTCAGGCCTTACCCAGGTGATAGCCCAGGGTGTGAGGTGGTAGGGGGCTGTGAGGTCAGGACCCTGAGGAGGGGAAATGCTGGACGGCCCAGCTGGCTCACCTCTTGCCTGCCCCTGCCCCCCAGAAATGGGTACAGCGTGAGATATCCAACTTCGAGTACTTGATGCAACTCAACACCATTGCGGGGCGGACCTACAATGACCTGTCTCAGTACCCTGTGGTGAGGGCCCCCCCACCCACACACCTCCACCCTGTTTCTCTGGTCCATCAGCCTTTGGTTCACCCAAGTGTAGGTACCTGCCAGTGGGCCATGCCATGAGCTTGGTCCTGGGTTGGGCGTGCAGTGCTGATTGAGACCTGGCCTCTGTTCCCTGCCACAGATCCCCAGACCCTCCCTGCCCCTATTCCCCTCCCCACCAGGCCTCTGTTCTCCCCGAAGGAATCCTGTCCCAAGAGAGTCTATTCCTCTCCCCCGTGGCCAGTCCAACTGGTACTCCCCCACTTGTGGGCTCTGTGCCCGTCTCCCTGTGGGTGAGGGCAAGGCAGGGTGGGCAGGTAGGCCGACAGGGCCCTCATGCAGCACCTGCCCCGGTGGGCGGCCAGTTCCCCTGGGTCCTGCAGGATTACGTGTCCCCAACCCTGGACCTCAACAACCCGGCTGTCTTCCGGGACCTGTCCAAGCCCATCGGTGTGGTGAACCCCAAGCATGCCCAGCTCGTGAGGGAGAAGTGAGCGCGTGGGCAGGGCCGGGCTCAGGGGGGTGGGGCCGGGTGAGGGGTGAGCTTCTGCCAACTTCCCCCACTCTGAATCTATGGCCCCAGGTACGAGAGCTTTGAGGACCCAGCGGGCACCATTGACAAGTTCCACTATGGGACCCACTACTCCAACGCAGCAGGCGTGATGCACTACCTCATCCGCACAGAGCCCTTCACTTCCCTGCACGTCCAGCTGCAGAGTGGCCGGTATGGCGGGGGGTGAGGTGGACAGCGATGAGCGATGGGCCAATGAGGGGCAGGCAGGTCCTCCAGACATCCTGGGCCTGCCTCTGGCTCCTTTCCCCCAGCTACACCGCTCCCTCCTTGTCCTCGTTCTCCCACCTCACCTTGGCCCGTGCCCCTCCCCAGCTTTGACTGCTCTGACCGGCAGTTCCACTCGGTGGCAGCTGCCTGGCAGACCCGCCTGGAGAGCCCCGCCGATGTGAAGGAGCTCATCCCAGAGTTCTTCTACTTCCCTGACTTCCTGGAGAACCAGAATGGTAAGAGTGAGGTGCTGGCAGCAACAGTGGGGGGCATGGAGATGGAGGGCACAGGCTGGGGTGGCCAGGAATCGGGTAAGATGGTGCAGGGGTATAGCTGACCTGGCCCCTGTGCTAGGATTTGACCTGGGCTGCCTCCAGACGAGCAACGAGAAGGTGGGTGATGTGGTGCTGCCACCATGGGCCAACTCTCCTGAGGACTTCATCCAGCAGCACCGCCGGGCTCTGGTGAGGAGGTGACCACACAGACTGGTGGGCAGCCAGGAGCAAGGGGTCAGGGTATGCCTCAGCCATCCCTCGACTGACTGCCCCTTCCCTGACTCCAGGAGTCGGAGTATGTGTCTGCCCACCTGCACGAGTGGATCGATCTCATCTTTGGCTACAAACAGCGGGGGCCTGCAGCTGAGGAAGCCCTCAATGTCTTCTATTACTGCACCTATGAAGGTGGGTGGTGCCCTGGACGCAATGGAGGCTGAGGACAGGTGAGGAGGGGTGAAAGCAGACAGCACAGAAGAAAGCCTGACTACTCTGCCTGCCTGCTCAGGAGCTGTGGACCTGGACCATGTGGCGGATGAGCGGGAACGGAAGGCTCTGGAGGGCATTATCAGCAACTTTGGGCAGACCCCTTGTCAGCTGCTGAAGGTAAGACCTGGTTGGAGAATGCCTATATGTCAGGGATGCCCATGTTAGGATGCTGACTGGGTACTCACCCACAGGAGCCACATCCAGCCCGGCTCTCAGCTGAGGAAGCAGCCCACCGCCTTGCACGTCTGGACACTAACTCCCCTAGCATCTTCCAGCACCTGCATGAGCTCAAGGCCTTCTTTGCAGAGGTGAGAGGAAGGCAGGGCCTCAATTTCCACTCTGTGGGCAGCTGGGAAGTCTAAATCAAAGTCACTGGTTGTAAGGTACCTTGGGCAAAAAACTAAACATGAAAGGAGTATGGGAGGGGGTGTTCTCTTCCTGAGGGCTATGGCAAGGTGTTGACCCACCTAACCACCTTCTGAAAGCCTTAGGAAGAATAGGAGGGAGAGATCTAGCCTGGGACACCCTACCTCACATTCCTGCCTGCACCCCAGAATGTTGCCCCCAGCCTTACTGGTTTCTAGGCTGCCCTAACACAGTCGGCCACCACTTGTCAGTTTGTCTTACCGTGATGGCTTGCGTGTTGCTGTGACGCTGGATGCTATGCCACTGGTATTTCAAACACCAGCAGGGTCGTCCATGGTGGACAGGTTTCAGTGGACCTTCCAGACTAAGACAGACTACGAAGAAGGATCTGGAAATCTACTTCTAAAAAAATCAGCCAGTGAAAACCTTATGAATAGCAGCGGAACATTGTCTGATACAGTGCCGGAAATGAGCCCCTCAGGGTGGAAGGCACTCAAAATGTGACTGGGGAAGAGCTGCCTTCTCAAAGTAGAATCGACCTTAATGACATAGATGGAGTCAAGCTTTCGGGACCTTTACTTGCTGATGTGGCGTGACTCAAAATGACAAGAAACAGCTGCAAACATCCATTAACAATCAGAATGTGGAATGTATGAAGTATAAATCTAGGAAAATTGGAAGTTGTCAAAAATTAAATGGAATGCATAAATATCAAAATTCTACACATTAGTGAGCTGAAATGGACTAGTACTGGCAGTTCTGAATCAGACAATCATAGGGTCTACTATGCCAGGAATGACAAATTGCAGAGGAACGGTGTTGCATTCATCATCATAAAGAACATTTCATGATCTATCCTGAAGTACAGCACTGTCAGTGATAGGACAGTATCCATACGACTACAAGGAAAACCAACTAATACAACTATTATTCAAATTTACACACCAACCACTAATGCCAAAGATGAAGAAATTGAAGATTTTTACCAACTTCTGCAGTCTGAAATAGATCAAACATGCAGTCAAGATGCATTGATAATTACTGGTGATTGGAATGTGAAAGTTGGAAACAAAGAAGAAGGATCCTAGTTGGGAAATATGGCCTTGGTGATAGAAACGATGCAGGAGATCGCATGATAGGATTTTGTAAGACCAACAACTTATTCATTGCAAATACCTTTTTTCAACAACACAAATGGTGACTATACGCGTGGACCTTGCCAGATGGAATACATAGGAATCAAATCAACTACATCTGTGAGAAGAGATGTTGGAGAAGTTTAATATCATCAGTCAGAACAAGGCCAGGGGCCAACTGCGGAACAGACCATCAATTGCTTGTATGCAAGTTCAGGTTGAAGCTAAAGAAAATTTAAAATAAGTCCACGAGAGCCAAAGTACAACCTTAAGTATATCCTACCTGAATTTAGAAACCATCTCAAGAATAGATTTGACACATTGAACACTAATGATCGAAGATCAGACCACACATTATACGTGAAGAAAGCAAAAGGTCATGAAAAAGACAGGAAAGAGAGAAAAGACCAAAATGGTTGCCAGAAGAGACTGAAACTTGCTCTTGAACGTAGAGTAGCTAAAGCGAATGGAAGAAATGATGAAGTAAAAGAGCTGAACAGAAGATTTCAAAGGGCAGCTCAAAAAGACGGTTAGAAACCAAAAGGGAAGAACACACTCGGTATTTCTAAAGCTGAAAGAACTGAAGAAAAAATTCAGGCCTCGAGTTGCAATATTGAAGGATTCTATGGGCAAAATATTGAACGATGCAGGAAGCATCAAAAGAAGATGGAAGGAATACACACAGTCACTGTACCAAAAGGATTTGATCAACGTTCAACCATTTGAGGACGTAGCATATGATCAAGAACCGATGGTACTGAAGGAAGATGTCCAAGCTGCACTGAAGACATTGGTGAAAAACACGCCTTCAGGAATTGACAGAATACCAATTGAGATGTTTCAGCAAACAGATGCAATGCTGGAAGTGCTCGCTTGTCTATGCCAAGAAATTTGGAAGACAGCTACCTGGCCAACGAACTGGGAGAAATCCATATTTGTGGCCATTCCAAAGAAAGGTGATCCATCAGAATGTGGAAATTATTGAACAATATCATTAATATTACATGTAAGTAAAATTTTGCTGAAAATAATTCAAAAACGGTTGCAGCAGTACAGGGACAAAGAACTGTCAGAAATTCAAGCCAGGTTCAGAAGAGGATGTGGAATGAAGGATATCACTGCTGATGTCAGGTGGATCTTGGCTGAAAGCAGAGAATACCAGAAAGTTGTTTATTGACTATGCAAAGGCATTCAACTGTGTGGATCACAAGAATGGGAATTCCAGAACACTTAACTGTGCTCATGAGGAACCTGTACTTAGACCAAGAGGCAGTCGTTCAAACATAAAAGGATACTGCATGGTTTAAAATCAGAAAAAGTGTGTGTCAGGGTTGTATCCTTTCACCATACTTAGTCAATCTGTATGCTGAGCAAATAATCTGAGAAGCTGGACTATATGAAGAAGAACGGGGCATCAGGATTGAAGGAAGACTTATTAACAACCTGTGATATGCAGATGACACAACCTTGCTTGCTGAAAGTGAAGAGGACTTGAAGCACTTACTGACAAAGATCACACTACAGCCTTCAGTATGATTTACACCTCAACATACAGAAAACAAAACTCTTCACAACTGGACCAATAAGCAACATCTTGATAACTGGAGAAAATATTGAAGTCGTCAAGAATTTCATTTTACTTGGATCCATGATCAACACCATGGAAGCAGCAGTCAAGAAATCAAATGACATACTGCATCGAGCAAATCTGCGCAAAAGACCTCTTTAAAGTGTTAAAAAGCAAAGATGTCACTTTGAAGACCAAGGAGCGCCTGACACAAGCCACGTTATTTTCAGTGACCTCACATGCATGGGAAAGCTGGACAATGAATACGGAACACCGAAGAATTGCTGCCTTTGAATTATGGTGCTGGTGAAGAATATTGAATATACTATGGACTTCCAGAAGAAAGAACAAATCTATCTTGGAAGAAGTACAACCAGAATGCTCTTTAGAAGTGAGGATGGTGAGACTTTGTTTCACATACTTTGGACATGTTATCAGGAGGGACCCGTCCCTGGAGAAGGACATCATGCTTGGTAAAGTAGAGGGTCAGCGAAAAAGAGGAAGACACTCAACGAGATGGATCGACACAGTAGCTGCAAGAATGGGCTCAAACATAGCAACAACTGTGAGGATGGCACAGTGTTTAGGTCTGTTGTACATAGGGTCACTATGAGTTAGCATTGACTAGACAGCACCTAACAACAACAATGCACTTGGGTCCTAACTGAAAGGCTGGAGGTTAGAGTCCAGCCAGAGGCACCTTGGAATAAAGGCTTGACGATCTAGTTCCGAAATATCAGCCACTAAGAACTCTATGGAGCACAGTTCTACTCTGACACATGAGGTCGCCATGAGTCAGAATTGACTTTACAGCAATTGGTTTTTTCTCCCCCTGCCAGCAGGCTAGGGGGATCTGGAGTAATGATGTGGGAGGAACAGGACCAAGCTTGAAACTCCAAAAGGATCTTCCTTGGCTTGGCTTCTCTCTGAGATACTATCCTGAAGGCCCACTCATCTCATGCCAGTTTCTCAAGGGGGGAGTCTGCCTCTGATGCCTAGCCTGTGGCCCTGGGGGTTGAGAGCAGAGGAAGTGGTGGTGCCCCAGGGAGCAGATAGTGCAGCAAGGACCTCTGCTGGCCACTTGGCAGAGCCAGCCCTGCACTGTACCCTGCAGGTTGTCAGTGAAGGTGTGCCCCTGGTGTTGGCCCTGGTTCCCCACCGGCAACCCCACTCCTTCATCACCCAGGGTTCGCCAGACCTGTTGGTAAGTGCACTGGGTGGGGCTCCACCTTAGCTCTATCTCTTCTCTGACTCTACCTGAAACCCACCTCTGCCCCCTCCTGCCTGCAGGTGACCGTGAGTGCCAGTGGGCTGCTGGGCACCCACAGCTGGTTGCCCTATGACCGAAACATAAGCAACTACTTCACCTTCAGCAAAGACCCCACCATAGGCAGCCCCAAGTAGGACATGGGGCTGTGGTGGGGGTCATTTCTCCACCCAATCAAAGCACAGGCTGGCTGCTGGGGAGAGGTCTGGCCAAGATCTCTGAGGGTCTGGGTCTCTCCTACGTGGCCTGGCCTCACCTACCATCCCCTTCACTGGGTCAGGATGCAGCGACTTCTGAGTGGCCCATGGGTGCCAGGCAGCAGTGTGAGTGGGCAAGTATTGGCAGTGGCCCCCGATGGAAAGCTGTTGTTCAGCGGTGGCCACTGGGATGGCAGCCTACGAGTGACCGCACTACCCCGTGGCAAGCTGTTGAACCAGCTGAGCCGCCACCTTGGTATGAACAGCCTTGGAGCGGGTGAGGGTGAGGCATGCAGGTGGGGCTCTGAGGGTGGCCAGGGAGGGCGTGACTGCTCCGTCTGCCTGTTCCTCCCCATGCAGATGTAGTAACCTGCCTTGCACTGGACACCTGTGGCATCTACCTCATCTCAGGCTCCCGGGATGCCACGTGCATGGTGTGGCGGCTCCTGCAGCAGGTGTGCCTGGTGGGCAGCCCATGGTGGTCCCCACAGCCCAGACCGGCAGCGCATCTGCCCCTCAGTGGGCCTCCAGTCCTGCCCCCGTCTTCCCTTTCCCTCCACTACTGTGAGCAAGGCTGGAGCTCCATAACCCTCCACCTCACTGGCCTTGGACAGGGCCTTCACTCTCTTGAGCCTCAGTCTCCTCATCCAGGGGTCAGGGTGGTGGGATACCCCAGTCCTGAGCCAGCCCCGGCTCCCCACAGGGCGGTCTGTCGGTAGGGCTGGTGCCAAAGCCTGTGCAGGTCCTATATGGGCACAAGGCTGCAGTGAGTTGCGTGGCCATCAGCACTGAACTCAACATGGCTGTGTCTGGATCCGAGGTGCGTGTATGCATGTGCCCTGGGGAGGGCGGTTTGCCGGGCATTGCCCCTGGAGCCCAAAGGCCCTGCCCAGTACCCTAAGCTGTCTTCCTGCAGGATGGAACTGTGATCATCCACACTGTACGCCGTGGCCAGTTTGTGGCAGCACTGCGGCCCCCAGGGGCCACACTGCCTGGACCTGTGTCCCACCTGGCACTGGGATCTGAGGGCCAGATTGTGGTACAGAGCTCAGCACGGGAGCGTCCAGGGGCCCAGGTATGGGGAAGCGGTGCACAGCCAAGGCAGAGGGGTGGTAGGGATCCTGTCCTTGCTGACACTTCTGCTTCCTCCAGGTTACCTACTCCTTGCACCTGTACTCAGTGAATGGGCGGCTGCGGGCTTCACGTCCCCTGGCAGAGCAGCCCACAGCCCTGACGGTGACTGAGGACTTCATTCTGCTGGGCACAGCCCAATGCGCTTTGCACATCCTCCACCTGCACAAGTGAGCCCCCACCATTTATGGGTTCATGGCCCCTCAGGGTGGCGGTCACTGGCAGAGGATACTAGGGGGTGCCCCTCATTGACCCACACACTTTATATGACCATGGACACAGTCTTCAAGACCTGTAACTATCCTCTAATACCCCAGTGGGGTGATGTTGTCTTGGGCCTCTTTTAGCCACATGGTTGTGGGAGATCCCCTTATATATCATTATGTCATCATTAAAATGACAACAGACAGGGTGGGCTCCTCCTCAGGCATGTGGGAAAACAGACACAGTCTGCTGGAAGTCAAGACCCCTTCTACAGCTGTGAATTCCTGTGTGTCTGCCCCCTCCCCTAGACTGCTCCCGGCTGCGCCTCCCCTGCCCATGAAGGTGCCCATCTGCAGCGTGGCCGTGACCAAGGAGCGTAGCCATGTACTTGTGGGCCTGGAGGACGGCAAGCTTATCGTGGTGGGCGCGGGACAGCCCTCTGAGGTGAGGATAGGAGCAGGGTGGGCCTCAGACGGGGCGGGGAGGGGTGGTCCTGGCTGACACCACCTCTCCTACTCCCACCAGGTGCGCAGCGGCCAGTTCGCGCGCAAGCTGTGGCGCTCCTCGAGGCGCATCTCCCAGGTGTCATCGGGGGAGACAGAGTACAACCCCAGTGAGGAGCGCTGAGGGCCTGCCCCGCCCAGCTGCTCATGCCCCGCCTCCAGCGGGTCCCACCCAGGGACACCCCGCCCAGGAGTCCGCGGGGAAAGCAGAAGAGGAGGCGACCTCGCGGCAGCGGGTCCGCGCTCTGGGGGGGGAGGGGGGGCGGGGCCCTACCCTCACGCCCAGCTCAGGGATTGGTGGGGGCGGTGTCACTCCAGGAAGTCCCGCCCCTCGCCGGCAGAGGGGCCGCCCCGAAACCCGTCTGGCCTCTGGCCGCAGCAGCACTTTTTGCACAGTCCAGGGCGGAGATCCCCGGCTCTCAAACCCCAGTCCTGCGGAGCACAGGGGGCTGGCCGTAGCCTTAATCCCTAAAGGCGGCCCCCGCTCTTCCGTTCTCGGCAATAAAGCTGGCCTAGTTTTGTAGCTGTTCTGCCTCCTTGGTCACAATGTCAGGGTCGTTAGTCCAGCCTGGCTCACGTTCCCCTAACCCATTACCCCCTCCCGGGTCGACTGGCCCCCTTCACGTGGCTTCCACTGACTTGGGGCCTCAGTTTACCCAGCCGTACTGCCGCTGCCCCTCTTGTCAGCGCCCCGTCGCCTCTCCCCGGTTCGTGGTTTCTTCGCCCCCTCAGCCCTCACCGGGTCACCGCTGCACGCCATTCATACGCTCCCGCCATCCTGGCTAGGTGCCGTGTCCGCGGGCGTGCGGGTCGTCGGCGGGGCCGCCCTACCACTCGGCCTTGTCCGCAAAGCGGGTGGTGAAGGCCAGGGCGGGAGTTCTCACCTCCTCCTTTGCTCTAGCTCCACCCCAGGGCGCCTGCCCCGCCCCCTCAGCCTCTCTGCCCCTTCTCAATCCAACCCCCGAGTCCCGCCCAGCGCCGCAGCTCACGTCTGGGGTGGAACAGAATTTGGCCGTCCTAGGGATTCAGGGCCGTCTTCACTGCTCAAGGGGAGCCTTGCGGCCTCAGAGGCCCCAGCCCCGCCAGGTTGAGCGGATCCCGGAACCCGCGGAGGGGCGGCCGCAGCAGGTTAGGAAGGGGTGCCGGACAGAACTCTGGGTCTTGATGGGCGGAGGGAGCCAAGGGCTGACTCTGCCCCCACCTCAAGACTTGTGGTCCCGTGGATTTTGTGCGTCGTGGGGCCCGTGTCTGTTGGGATGTGGGTGGGGAGTCAGGGTAGTGTGGACGTGTGGGGTCTTGCACTGTGTATCCATGTTTTGTGGGTCTGGGGATGGGGGAAGGCCCCAGTCCCGCAGTTCAGGGTGGGGTCGAGAGAACCTTAGCCTGCCTGCTGCTGCGCGCTCTGGTCACAAGCTTGCTCACCAACCAGAACCCAGGGAGAGCACTTCGTGTGGGAAGTCACACAAACATACACATCTCACACGTGGCAGGGGCCACCACGGCCTAGACCCACTTGGCCGCAGCGCTGGCTTGAATTTAGCCACACACATGGGCACAAGGTCTACACGGAAGTGAGACTGGAGTCCCAGGGCTGCACCCTGCTGTGTTTGTGAAGTGGTGGATGTTAGAAAGTTGCAGGGCCTTTCCTCAGGTCATCTTCTCCACCTCTTCTCTATGCAGATCCCCCTGCACCCGGACCTGGGGCCTCTCTTCCCCAGGCCTCAGTGGGTACCAGCAGGATTGGCCCTGCAGGTCCTGATGGGTGCTGGGACTGAGTGACCCTTATCCTTCAGGTTTCTAGCCTTCAGGTTCTCATGGAATTCCCTGATGAGACAGGACTAGAGGCCCTCTGGGCCCACATCTCCTCTGCCCTTGCTGAACCCTCCAAGGTACCCTCCCTGCCAGCCTCTGAGCAGAAAGTGAGGGCTGGACGCTGACCCTAGAGGCAGGAGTGAGAGCAGTGTCATTCCAGGAAGTCCTGCCTCAGGGCCTTAGGATGTTGGGATCCTGTGTTTATGCTGAGAAGTCTGGGAGTGAGCCTTCCACCAGCCAGTAGGTCTCTGCCCATCTGTCTGGCCAAGCTCTGGCTGAGGTGGGGGCTGGAGGGCATGTCTCCCTGGTCCTCCTCTGCCATCCTTAGACTCAGACCAGGTGTTGTCAAGATCTTTGAGACAGTGGTTTCTAACCTACCCCCCTCCATCCTGGGCTGCACCCTGGCGCCTCTTGTTTGGCCAGCTGGGACTAGCGCTGTCTGGGACCTGATACCCTTACCCCATCTGACAAAGGAGGAAGCTGGTCCAGATGGGCAGGGGGAGGAGCACCAGCCCCAGAGCGCATCAGGATGGAATGCTGGGGGGCGGAAGAGGTGAACTGCCCAGGGGACTTCTGATGTCAGGTCTGAGGCTTTTCTCCCTCGTCATCTGGACTCAAAAGAAGCCTCCTGGCTCCCTTGCCTGGGTGTTGCCCATAGCACTCCAACCCCTTCTAGAGATGCAGTTCCAGAGGGCCCTGCGAGGCAGCAGAGCCATGCTTCACAACTCCAGCCTCAGGGAGGGCATGGCCCATGTGGGTAAGCACCTCTCAATCCAGATCTTGGGCACTGGGCAGGCTGGAAGGTACCCCAGACGGGTGGGTCACACATAAGTCTAGTCACAGGCTCTAGAGTCGCCATTCCCTGTGTCCTATCTGCAGTAGGTTGGGAGGACAAGTGCCTCTCAGGCAAAAGCAGCAGCATTTCTTTTCTAGTTCAGTTTTATTTTGCAAAACTTGACAGTCTTCTGTGCACGGAGATCCGCACAGGGACCAACATGAATCAATAGGCTCTCAGCCTAGACCTGGCAGAGGAGACAGGATGCACAGTTCAGGGTGATGTTACCAGAAACCAAACCTGCTGCTGTCAGATTTGACTCACGGCAACCCCACGTGTTACACAGTAGAACTGCTCTCTAGGGTTTTCTTGGCGGTAATCTTTACAGAAGCAGATTGCCAGGTGTTTCTTCCACAGTGTTGCTGAGTGGGTTTAAACTGCTAGCCTTTAGGTTAGTAGTTGAACGCAAACTGTTTCCACCACTCAGGGACCCTAGGACATAAAGGGAACTGCAATTTCCCTTGGTAGACAAAATAAAACAGGTACACTTGGAGACAGAAAAGGGACAGATCTGGGAGATCAAGGAAGGCTTCCCAGAGAAGGGGATTCCTGCCCATTTATCAGATAGATAAGGTAGAGGGAACAGTGAGAGAAGGTTGGAAGCATGGGAGAGCTGGGCACGTCTGCGAAGCGCTAGGTGTCCAGAGTGGCAAGCAAGGGGAGGCTGTGGGAAATGAGGGTGGAGAAACAGTCAGCTGTCTTTCCTGGGGTGTGGCCTTTTGACTCTGTGCAGTAAGGACTATTGTTTTCGTACCTTTTAGGCAGCAAGGTCTAGGTGAGGTGGCCCAGGAATCCTAGGCTTGTTTTTTGCTCCTGATACTATCTGTCCTTTTCCTCCACAGAGAAGACCCTGATGGGGCAGGACAGGGACAGGGAAGGGGTGTGGGTGGGGGCAGGGGGAGCCCTGACCCCCAATACCTCCTCCCCATTCCCCCCTGAGCCTCCAGGGGCCTCAGGCAGCATCATCCCAGTCTACTGTGCCCTCCTGGCTTCTGTGGTCCTGGGTCTGCTGGCCTGCGTGGCCTTCAAGTGGTAGGTGGTGTGGGCACCGCCCTGTGACATCCCCCTCCCCATCTGGACTCCCAGCCAGCTCCGTCTGTCTTGGTGAAGGTGGGAGCAGGCTGGCAGGTACCCCTGCACCCTACAGCTGGCGCTCACATAAGCAAAGACAGCAGCTGGCCAAGGCTCGGACTGCAGAGCTGGGGGGCCTCGACAGGGACCAGATGGGTGGGGATAGCAGCGTCTTCCTGGACTCTCCCAGCGGCCTGGAACCCTGCACCCCTGACCAGGGTGAGTCCCCTTCCCCAGTATAGTCCTTCTGACCCAGCCCTGCCCTGCTACCCAGGCCCTTGTCTGACTCTCATGTGCCCCTCCCGTCTCCCACCCCAGGACCAAATCCTGAGCTTGGCTGCCGACTTTACCTTCATCTCCCTCGGCGGCAGCAGGAGGAAGTGGAGCGGCTCCTGGAGGCGGCGGGCAAACCTGATAAGGGCTGGCAGGGCCTGGCAGGCCACCTGGGCTACCGGGCTGAGGCTGTGGAGACCCTGGCCCAGGGCCAGGCTCCAGCCTACACCCTGCTGAGGGACTGGGCCATCCGGAAAGGCAACAGAGCCACCCTCAGAGTGCTAGAGGATGCCCTGGCTGCCATGGACCGTGAAGATGTGGCCCGGATCCTGAGCCCCTTGGCCGAAGGCTGCTCTGTGGTGTGAGCTATGCCTCCACAGCCCGGCCTCTCAGGGAACCTGTTCTGGTGCTCCCTACCTCTCCCATCTCCCTATACACACTCCCTTCATGGGCCTTCTGGTATTGGCTTCAGCCTGCTTTGCTCTGGGGAGTCACCACTCACCTCCCCTTGTCCTATCCTCCTCTAGGACAAGGACCAGGACTGGGGGGAGTGGGAAGTGAGGGGTGGTCCTACCCTTCTGATCCCCACTCCACCTCTCCTTACTTAGCCTCAGCTGTTTTTTCTACTTTTGTATCCTATATTAAAGGAGACTTTGGATTTTGGTGCTGGCTCCATCTGGCTCCTTGGGCGTGTGCGACAGTTGGGGGTCATGAGGCAGAGGCTCAGAAAAGAGCTGGGGCGGGGGGGTCCTAGGGTATGGGAGGGGCCACAGCTGAGTGGGCACCTTCCCTGAGCAGCACCTAGGATGGCAGGCAGTGTGCTCCCATAAGACTCGGGCTTTGGAGGCACAGTCTGGAGTTCATGTCCTGGATGTGTCATTCATTGGTGGTACCATGTGGGAAGCTATTTCATCTTTCTGAACTTTAGCTTCCTTAAACCAAACCAAACCAAACCAAACCCACTGTCGTCAAGTTGATTCCGACTCATAGCAACCCTATAGGACAAAGTAGAACTGCCCATAGGGTTTCCAAGGAGCGGCTGGTAGATTTGAACTGCTGACCTTTTGGGTAGCAGCCAAAACTCTTAACCACTGTGCCACCAGGGCTCCTGAGCTTCCTTAGCTGGAGACAATAATATGGCATGTTCAGTAGGTTCCCCTCCACCTAAGGCTCTCAGGTTGGCACTGAGGAGCCTTGGGCTTGAGGCCATTTTCCTGACTCATGCTGTGTCCAGCATCAAGGGGAGGCTGGAGGCAGGCTGGTCCTGGGAACCTAGATACCAATGGCCTGTGGGTGAGAAAAAGGTAGAAAGGGCTCTTCTTACAAGACCAGCACTCCAGACTTCAGACAGGGAGTTTCAAACATACTTCACGACTGCTTATGTGGACTTCACACGAGCCAAGGGCGTGCAGGCAGGCCATCCCACACACCTGAGAGGCAGTTCAGGACAGGGAAACTGCAGTCAAAACACCCACACCCCCCACTGTGCCCGCTCTGAAGGCAGGAGCCAGGTAGATTGGCTACTGTGCCTTCTGAGGGGGGGTGCTAGCCCCATAGGCCCTGCCTACAAACAAACAATGGCTATGGAGCCCCTGGCATCCACTAGAGTCAGAGGCATCAAGGAGAACAGCCATCCAAACTTCCTCAGGACAAGGGGATCTGGTCATGGTCCAGTGGGTCACTGGCACTGAGGGTAGATTCTGTCCCCTTGCTGAACTGAGATGCAACTGGCTGTTCTCTGAACACCAAAGTCATCACAGGATGCTGCTACTGCTGTTCTCAGAAAGAGTTCACCGGGGCTGCTTAAACCTGTAAGTCTTTTCGTTGGAATAAAGGCAGGAATAACCACCTTCATCCCGAGAGGACCCTTGGGCAATAACCCTGATGATCAGGAGGGAAAGCAAGAATGGTGGCTGCCAGGCTGTTGTGGATTGGACCAGCAATGAATGTGAACTCCTGAAATCCTGCACCAAGTGCTGGGAACAGGTTTGAGATTAACTGGCACCCCTTGTCACCACCTAGGGGTATTCAGTGGGTGTGGGGAAAGGAAAAGTTTTTGAAAAAACTTAACAGGGAGGTAAATAAATGAAAATTCCTTTTTCAGAAATGTCCTGCCTTGACAGCTCCCTTGTCACTCCCTGTAATGGTTGTGTGTCAGCTTGGCTGGGCCATGATTCTCAGTGGTTTGGCAGTTACATAATGATGTAGTTATCTTCCATTTTGTGATATAATGTAATCACCTCCATGATGTGATCTGGTATGATCAGCCAATTAGGTGTAAAGGGAGTTTCCTTGAGGGTGTGGCCTACATCCAATATATATGGACGTTCTGGCAGAGCTCGCTGGCTCTTGCTTACTCTGGATCCTGCATCTGGCTCGTCATCATCTGACCTCCAGTTCTTGGGACTTGAACTAGCGGCCTTCTGCGTAGCCTGCCAATCTTGGGATTAATCGGCCTCCGCAGCCTGTGAACCAGTAGCCTGCTGTGTTACCTCTTGATCTTGGATTCGTCAGCTTCTGCAGCCCGTGAGCCAGCAGCCTGCCATCTGACCTGCTGATCTTGGGTTCATCAGCCCCAGCAGCTACGTGAGTCAGGAGTCTGACACCTGACCCACAAGTTGGGACTTGCCAGCTTCTACAACTGTGTGAGCCACTTCCTTGAGATAAATCTCTCTCTCTCTCCCTCCAGTCTGTCCAATCTATCTAATCTGTCTATATGCTTCACTGGTTTTGCTTCTTAGAGAACCCAGCCTAAGACATTTGGTACCAAGAATAGTTCTACAGAAACAAAATTGTGAGAATGAGTTTCCTAAATTGGTTCTCAAGTCTGGTTAGTCTTAAAGATGTTGATGACTCTGCTTCCAGTAGTAAACAGGGCACTGCTAATCCAGGGTGTGAGGTAGCAGTAGAAATACACAAAATATCACCACCAATAGATCAAGTATTGGTGAGAGGCAAGGCTTTGGGTGATCATGTGTTTGATACTTTTCTACAATTTTGTCAGAATGAGAAGTATAGGAAAGCTGGTTGGCTGGTCCTGCTTTAGCTAGACAAAGTGGTGAAAGAAAGAGATTAGCTCAGGGCTTCAGGGTCATAGCTCACGTGCTGCATAAATGACCTCAAAGTTGCCACTTGTGCCATGAGAGGAAGCCTTATTTCTTCCAGTAAAGAGCTGATGTTGCTGAAAACAAAACTCATAGTCTTATCGTAAGAGTGGCTGAATTACAATGCCAACTGAATTCCCAACCTCGAATGTGTCTGAAGTTAAAGTGAGGGCATTGAATGGGAAGAAATGGGATCCTGAAACTTGGGATGGGGACATATGGGCAGATAATCAGGAAGTTGGGTACACTGAGACCCTAAATTCCATTGAATTGCTCCTGCCAACGAAACCATTAGCTCCTCCACCCCCATCTGATGAGATTAATCCAGCTGTGTCTGAAGAGCCTTTGTTTGAGATATCACCCGGGGAGGCATCCGAGTCATTGCCTGGGGCATTGCCTATGGCAGCTGCCTTACAAGACATTGCTGAATGTTCTCAAAACACATCCCCACCACCCAGTTTTGCTTCTAGACCTATAACTAGACTTAAGTCCCAGTGAGCCCCAAAAGGTGAAGTACAAAGTGTGACCCAGGAGAAGGTATGCTACACTCCAGAAGAACTGCCTGACTTTTCTAATGTGTACAAACAGAAACCTGGAGAATATGTGTGGGAATGGCTATTAAGGGTATAGGATAATGGTGTGAGAAACAAAGTTCGATCAGTCTGAATTTATTGATACGGGCCCACTAAGCACAGATTCTTCAGTGTTTCAGGTCAAAAGGTTAGGAAAGAATCTAATAGTTTATTTGGTTGGGTCACTGAAGCATGGATTACACGGTAGCCTACACTAAATCAAGTACCAGCCCTGCCTTTGAGTGCCTAGACGACACACCTTTTACCATAACAGTGAGGAACATATTTGTGAAGGGAAGCCCAGCATCCTTGAAGACTGCTGTGATTGCAATTTTATGTAATTCAGATTTGACAGTGGGAGCTGCCCTAACTGAATTCATACATCTAACTGCAATGGGACTGATTCATCCCCGTGGTGGTAGCGGCCAAGTGGTGGCACTCAATCGACAAAGACAGGGTGGGCATGGTTACTGTAGGGATAGCAAAGTCGAAGCAGTAATCAGTATAGCCTGACTCATATGGACTTATGGCTTTGGCTACTTAGTCATGGTGTCCCCAGGAGTGAAATAGATGGGAAATGTACTAAATATTTCCTGATCTGTACAAGCAGAAGAAATCTAGGTCAAGTGAACAGCAGTCTAACTCAAATCGCCAGAATAGAGAGTCACGGCCCCTCAATCAATTCCCAGACTTGAGCCAGTTTACAGACCCACAACCCCTTGAATGAAGGGGAGGATGAGTCCCCTTGGGGAAGGACCGGGCTATTACGGTAGGAAAAGCCAAGTGGAAGCCATTCGTACTGCCCCTGACTAGGAAAATAGTAAACCAAAAGCAATACCGCATTCCTGGAGGGATTGCAGAGATTACCGCCACCATCAACGACTTGAAGGATGCTGGGGTGGTGATTCCCACACATCCCCATTCAACTCGCCTATCTGGCCTGTGCAAAAGACAGATGGATCTTGGAGAATGACAGTGGATTATTGTAAACTTAACCAGGTGGTGACTCCAATTGCAGCTGCTGTTCCCAGATGCAGTTTTCATTGCTTGAGTAAATTAATACATCTCATTATCTGGTATGCAGCTACCGATCTGGCCAATGCCTATTCCAGTTTCAAAGGAACACCAGAAGCAGTTTGCCTTCAGCTGGCAAGGCCAGAAATACACCTTCACTGTCCTACCTCAGGGGTATATCAGCTCTCCAGCCCTATGTCATAATTTAGTCCGCAGGGACCTTGATCGCCTTTCCCTTCCATAGGACTGGTCCATTACAATGATAACATTATGCTGATTCGACCTAGTAAGGAAGAAGTGTCAATGATTCTAGACTTACTGTTAAAACATTTGTGTGCTAGAGGATGAGAAAGGAATCCCAGAAAAATACAGGCAACTTCCACCTCAGCGAAATTTCTAGGGGTCCAGTGTTGTAGGGCACGTCAAGATATTCCTTCTAAAGTGAAAAATAAGTTATTGCATCTGGCTGCTCCCACAACTAAAAAGGAGGCACAATGCCTGGTTGGCCTCTATGGATTTTGGAAGCACTCATTTGGGTGTGCTACTCCAGTCTATTTATCAATTGACTCAAAAAGCTTCTAGTTTTGAGTGGGGCCCAAAACAAGAGAAGGTTCTGCAGCAGATTCAGGTTGCCATTCAAGCCGCTCTGCCACTTGGGCTATTATGATTCGGCTG